TGATAAACATCTAAGAAAAAACAAAAATGATTTTTACAAAAACTTGCAAACTAAAAAACAATTAAAACAAAATATATAGACAATTTATGGCACACAAATGTGTTTACTGATACAAAACAAACGCACTGCTTATTTGGTTATCAAGTACAAAGATTAAGAATGATTGAAAATCCAAATTGTTCACAATATATTGCTTAAAACTCGAGAGCAACTCAGCTTTCAGTTGTTTACTGATACAAATATCAGCACTGCTTATTTGGTTATCAAGTACAAAGATTAAGAATGGTTGAAAATCCAAATTGTTCACAATATATTGCTTAAAACTAGTCACTAGTCAGACTATGAAAGTGTACCAATCACCAAAATATATTTTTTTCTGTATGTTTGGGGTAACAAGTGGCCAACTCAATTTCAAATATGTAATTCATTTAATACTGCTATAAAGAGGTACTGCATGTCAAAATACACTCTCAATTAACATACAAGTGACTTGGGAGTAGACTACTCAATTCAACATGCTTGTCTGCAACAGGGTCTGCATGGAACTTCAACTTGGGTTCCGTTCGTCAAGTTTTATGTCATCTCACATTTTCTTCATACATGTACCTCTAATAAACACTAAACCGACACAATGCCAGGTAAAACTTTTTTTTTTAAATCCTTTTCTTCTTCTTAATTTTTGTTGTTGTCTAGATTTACTGTCACAAATGATAATTTTAGGTGATATACACATTAATCACCAATACATGGTGAATGGCAAAAGCAAAAAAAACAACAACAAACAAACAACATATTTCAGAGAAGAAATTGCTTTAGTAATATACACTGGTATACATGCACATGTAATAACAAAAATGAGAAAGACTGAACTTGTACTAAGAGTAGAAAAATGACACTTATTTGTAAATTTTCAGAACTTCAGAACAAGTTATTACTTGTATCAAACTGAGATATAAACCTTGTAAAGTTGAAGGATGTCAAAATATATTAAAGGCATCGTTTAACAATGTTTAATCTGAGATGCACGGCCCTTCGTATTATCAGTGTCTGTGATATGGTATAATATTGAAGCCCTAAAAAATTTGCGCTTCAAAATGATCAAGAAGTGCCTCACAAAAGTAAAAATCTTTGAGTGACCGATTTTACCGTACCATACTCATTTTCCCCAATAGACTGTAGTGTTATGAAAACTGTTAGGAAAACGCAAATTTGGTTTCAATTTCCAATCATAAATATCTTGATAATCAGACAAACGATCGGCTGGTAAAAGTCATGGGTTTCCTGACTGACCTAAAGGATTATAATTATCATGGCAGCATGAGCTAAATTCAGGATTTTGTTTCAGAATCTGAGACAAAGTTACCGGATCCCTTTAAAGCTATTAATAATACAATGCTCTGAATATTGAATCAGATTATCAATTCATGAAAAACCAAGACCACAAAGCTGTGTGTATACAACAGTTGCCATTGTGCGTGGCAGCTAAAATCCAAGAACACCTCTTTTAACCCAAGGTTGTGTATCCTTTTTCGGTCTTGATTTTTCAAAAAGTGAAAATCTAATTAAAGGGGCATGTTCCCTGTATGCCAGAGGGCGCTCAAAATACGTACGCGCTGGCGGACGGCGCAACAGCTGCCTATTGACACCAACAGAATACGGCTCTTACGAACATGGCATGTTCCGATAACTACACTGGCGGGCACGTGCCCCTTAAGGTATCGAGTACAGAGCATTGTTTTAAGAATGATATTCAAAGAAATGTAAGAAAACTACTTCCGATAAATTTGACATCCTCCCACTTTACATTGTCCAAACCTCAGGCTGATACGTGATTTAACTTTGAGTTATTAACGATCGAGTGTCAAACATTTTTGTTAGATGCAGCTACTATATATTTTTCTTATAAGCATAACCTGAATAATGTACATATAATATAAAAATGCAGTATTTAATATTGCAATCTTAGCTGCCTCTTCAGTAGGAAACTTCAGTGTCATTACGAGTATATTTGCTCCGAGCAAAGATTTAAAAAATGGCATTAGCTAGCATGCAAACAATACGCAGACAATACATACATTTTTAGATTTTTGATATTCTTCTGCACGAATTCATAGACAGTGTTATATAAATGCATTTAGCAGTGATGGGATAAACATAGTGTTATATAAATGTAGTTTGCAGTAATAGGTGATAGCAGTGATATACATGTAAAATAACATGGGCTAGATTGACACGATTATAATTATAAGAAAAATGTTGTTTACCCAAGGAAGCCTCATATTAAGCATCAATGCTGTTCTTTATGAGGGCCCTGCAATTAATATTACCCCAGAGATGCCAACCTCTTGATACCCAAAAACTGACTGAATATCCTTTAAAAAAAAAAAAAAAAAAAAAAAAAAACTAGATGGAATTCGACTGCGTGCAGTCGAAAATGATGCCTCCGTCATAGAGCAATTTTACAAACCAAAACAGAAGAAATTTTTCAAATTCAAGTTCAATTGTAATCCATTAACAGGTTCTCAGAATATCGTGATTAGGCCTACAAGCAATTTCTCATATACATATATGACCCTTTGATCTTTGACCTCATGACCCTAAAATCTACTCAGTTCATTGGCTCTGCAAGATGTCCTGTGTTAAATAGTAATCCATCTGTCAGTTCTAATGAGAATGAGTTCACAAGCTATTTTAGCATACATAATGACCCATGACCTTTGACCTTATGAACCAAGAATCTACTCAGTTCATTGGCTCTGCAAGATACATAAATGATCCAAGTTTGGCAGGAATCCATCAATCTGTTCCAATGAGAATACGATCACAAGCTATTTTTGCATACATAATGAGCCGCATGACCTTTGACCTTGACCTCATGATCCCAAAATCAAATCAGTTCATCAGCTCTGCAAGTAACATACATGACCTAAGTTTGGCAGGAATCCATCAATCGGTTCTTGAGATAACGCGATCACAAGCTGTTTTTGCATACATAATGAGCCCTGTGACCTTTGACCTTTGACCTCGTGACCCCAAAATCTAATCAGTTCATTGGCTCTGCAAGATACATACATGACCAAAGTTTGGCAGGAATCCATAAATCGGTTCTTGAGATAACGCGATCACGAGCTGTTTTTGCATACATAATGAGCCCTGTGACCTTTGACCTTTGACCTCGTGACCCCAAAATCTAATCAGTTCATCGGCTCTGCAAGATACATACATGACCTAAGTTTGGTAGGAATCCATCAATCGGTTCTTCAGATAACGCGATCACGAGAACGGGACGTACGTACGTACGTACAGACGTACGTACGTACAGACGTACGTACAGACGGACGGACGGACAACCCGAAAACATAATGCCTCCGGCTACTTCGTAACGGAGGCATAAAAAATCAGATTTTCACGAAAACTTGACACTACCACTGGCCCGTTGGTCCCAGGCCAGTAAAATGTCATGAAAATGTTTTACTGGTAAGAACAGACAAGTAATATGTTTGCTCTTTCATTAACATTTAATGAGAACATTTTAAAGCAATGATTCTTATGATGCAAACAGAGTGTTGCATAATGAGAATAAAGTTTTGAGCCAATGAGAATTCGGTTCAAGCCAGAAGTAGAAGTGAGAAAAAAATTACTGTATAGACTTGCATAATACTCATGGAAATATGAGCCACATTCCTGTTAACTGACATTATAAACCTATTAAAAGTAGAAAAAAAGTGTAAGATATTTCAAAAAATAAAAAGATGAAAAGTCGTATTTTCAAGAGGCGATATTGTATTTCATTTTTTGAATCCTACTAAATACGATCAATCGTACTGGTTGGCATCTCTGTTACCCCATTAATAAATTGCCACGTACCCGAATGCAGCCGGGTGGAAAGTGGCAAATATGGATTAATGTCTCATCAAAGGACCTTACATCTGTGCCGACTGAGATTGGAACCCTCAACCTTTGGACAGAGAGTCAAGTGAACACACCACTATTTTGTCAAACAGAATGTTTTTGGTGAATTATGATTGTAAGTTTGGTGGCACAGTAGTGATTGAAAAAAAAATTACAACTTTTCTCTGAACTGTAGCCCCGTACAAGGCCAGATTAAAGATAGGAAAAGTTCTTAACTGGCATCTTGATAAATTTCTGCAGTCAACACAAGGTTAAAATACAAATGCATGTTTGTAAGTACTTTAGATATGAGCTAGCTTGATAACATTCTGCAAAAGATGATAACGTTTTTATAAATGCTCTATAGCCCCTATCAGGGATTTGCAAGCCCTCAGAAACTTATCCCAACAGTGACCTGTAGCAGCAAGATGAGTTTATTAAAGTATGCGCAAACTTTCAGAGCAAAAGACTCTGTGGTTCTCAATGAGTAATAAATGAAGCCCTCATTTAGTACACAACAAATGGTGTAAACAAAACACTGCTAGTTGCAAAATTCAAATTTGAAAATAAAAAATTACTGCAATTTTGCTAGTAACTAATCTTGTACCACTATACATTTAGGAAGTTATTAAATTATAATTTTGTTTAAAACATTTTAACTCTTTTACAAGTTTTGAGGTTTGTATCGTGCAGATCCCTGCAGTGCCCTTTAAGCAGTGATTGGTTATATAGGCATTGAATTAAAGATGAAGTTGAGTTCTGGTCATGCGATTGTATTGTGAAAGAAACGGTGTGGAATCGATCAGAATGGGTTGATCACCTAGCATATAATTATTGGTGTGTACTGCAAGGTTCTGGAATCATCAAAATGATAAGAAACTTGGCCCAGTCTTGGTTAAGTTACAAGCACGGTACACAGAAAGATGTATATGGGACTACAAGAACATGTGGCGATGTTACATGACATATTTAGAATATGAAGGCATTTGAAGAGCCATGCTTTCCAGGGAACATGTCTTATCTGATGTTCTTCCACACTTGCATAATAAGAATGATAACGCTCACAAATTATTTTTCACCTCTTCCCAGAACTCAACCTTCTCTTTAAGCAGTGATTGGTTATATAGGCATTGAACAAACTTAAACACATTTTACACAAGACAATGTTGTGGTGTAGCAGATCGTCGCTAAGCTTCTACATCCTGCGGCAGTCTCGTGTGTCCTTGCTTTGTTTCCTGATGTCTTCCTTTGCAGACCAGGTAGACGAATATGAGAACCAGGATGAGCGCTATGAGGCTAGTTCCAATCAAGATAGGTATTGCTAGAAAGAAAAAAAGAAAGAACAGAATTACAGTAAACATACAAGCTTTGGTCAATCAATGGAGCAAACAGAGGTCTACTACAGTAATATAAGACGTAAAAAAAAAATGTTGTATTGCCCTTTGCGACCGGCCCCAAAATCTTGAAATCTACGGTCGGCTTTTTTTCTTACCGTTTGAAAAAAAAATGTTTAATGAATAATAAAATATGTATTAAAACATTCAAAGCTGAGAAATATCAGCCCAAAGAGGGAGAAAAAAAAAAGTGACATTAAACATCTTTGGGCTAATCGTTGATACCGAACCCCTCAGAGAGGACATAAAGCTGTCAATCTCCTGTTTTTTTTACTGACAGGCATACACATGCTTTCTTAGCAGTCAGGTAAAACATACCATCAAACGAACCAACCAATACTTACTGTAGTTTTTCATGAACGTTGCCCCGCATTCAGCCTCCACGTTCCCAGGTATGACGTCAAGGACGAGTTCTTTGAACCGCTCAAGGCCGCACATATCAGAGCAGTCCATCAGGTGCAGCTTGTAGGGTACCTCCTGAGTGGTAGAGTTCCTAAACCATATGCTGACGTTGAACGATCTGCGAGAAAACACAGAAAACTTAAAGCCCCACACAGTACTACTTGTAGCCACTTGCTCCCGCTATATTAGAAAACAATGCCTAAGTGTTGTCCGTTGGTCCCCCATGGTCCTCTTTTTCTTATGTTAATTGAGAACTGAGTTGATGAGATAACCAGCTGTCAGTGACCATGCTGTGTGGTCTAATCCCTCCTGGCCAAACTAGTACAGACAGGCTTTAATGTTTCTTTCTAGACAAATTTCCTTTACTACCAGATGTGTGGCACTCTTCCACCACATTCTTTCCTTGAAGAATCTACAAGAATTTTCTTTTCTTTTTTAAATTGATGGATCTTCGAGCGCGGGTTCAAAAAAGAGCGAATCTACAAACCGAAACAGAAGCAATTTTGTTAATTGAAATTTGATTGCACTCTTTTTTAATTTTCCTTGTTTTTCACATGCCTTTCCTTATTTACAATCACACAAAATGGATTAATATCAACTACTGTACATTAACGTATTATTATTAGTTTATATATCAAATTGTTTAAATTCTGATTTTAAAAGAATCTGCAATTGGGCCATTTGGCCGCAAATGGTTTTTAATTAAAAAAAACCATTGTAAATAAATAAATAAATAAATAAAAAGCGTGTACTTCCATCAAGTTGTAGCAGGCAGGCCTTTTGTTTTAGTGATTACTTATGGTGTACCAGTCACCAAAAACATGCTCATGATGTAAGTGTATATAATGTGAGCTGTGAATATTACTTCTGCAAAGACATACTGCAGTCTAAGTACATAAGAAAAACTTGTTGAGTTTTATGTGTACGTATGTGCTGGCATGAAACTGGGCACCCACGGGACCCAAGCCGGACTTCGGGTTCTGTATGATGGATTTTCTTACAGTCATTCTTTTCTTCATATTCTTTTACTATTAACCTAGAATGCCAGGTAAAGTTTTAAAGTCAATTTTATACGATCTAGCTATACACAAATCTCCTTTCTTCCAGGTGAATGGAACACTATACAAATTTACAATGATATATCTTACTTGGTTGCGTCATCTTCCCACAATTCCACGCCCACAGCCGACGCATATGGAGACTGTTTCCCATTGTACACTCCCAGCGCGGACATGAAAGCAGCTAGCGTTGTGTCGTGCTGAAGAGATGCGAGAAAAATAAACATTGAATTTGTCATCAAACTGGCAGATTTCTGGCATCATCATAACCTCTTCATACGGCATGTGCAGGAAAACACTTATTCACTCAAAATGGCTTACCTTTGAAACGTACTAAAATAAGCACTGATCATTTTATTTAATGTATATATATATATTTGTTTATTCTGAGGAAAGCACAGAACTCTTCCTTTTTTTTCAAATATTTACGATATGTTTATTAAAATGTGTCACTTAAAGATAATCCTCGTGTAATCATATGCTTTTGTAAATATGTTAATTCAGATACCCTTATTCATACACAAACCTATGAACTGGGACCTACATAATACAAGCTTTGCTTTTTAGTAGATCCCCCACTTTATTGATTGATTTATATGATTGTATTCTCTGTTATAACTATTATCATGTACATTATGTTTTCTATATTGTATGTTTAGTAATAATAATTACCATTGTTCATTATGTTCAATTATGTTATTTTTGATAATAAAGTGAAATAAATAAACTTGAAACTTGAAAACTTAAAACTTCCATAATACTAAAGACTGAATTCTCAAAACGTGCAGATACATGTTACATAGCAGATAACTTCAAATTGGCTGAATCTGTAATGTTTCTGTGATGTAGCATTGGACTTTCCCATTTGTCCAATACACAAAATGACTAAAATATCAGTTTTTCAAAATGCATGATTCAGGAAAGTTCTTTTTCAGAGGACCTACCATTTTAAGTAAAGCTCTAAGGGAGAAGGCACTTAGGAGAAAAACAGAAAGTAACTATGGTACCGGTATATTCATGTACTCAACAAATGGGAGAGTTGTCCATGACTATATCACAATCCACTGACCTAATTTTCAATTTGAGATCTGCATAGATTTAGTAGTCATCTCATATTTCTAACATTCATTGGTCCGATTTATTTCAAATTCTCGCTATTCCGTTTAAATTTAATGTTTCTGCTTTCATACAAATAAACTTAAGAAGGGTGGATTGCCCTTTAAAGGCATTGTTTAACAATGTTTCCAGTTTTAAAAATCAGAGATGCATCGCCCTACGTGTTATCAGTGTCTGTGATATGGTGTAATATTGAAACCAAAACAAAATTGCGCTTCAAAATGATCATGAAGTGCTTAAAAAAAGTAAAAATCTTTGAGTGACTGGTTTTACCATACTCATTTTCTCCAATAGACTGTAGTGTTATAAAAACTGTTGGGAAAATTATATGAATAAGCAATGTAAGACTTACAGCTGAATACATGAAGAACTTGATTGGAGTACCCGTCACGTTCTTACTCTTCTTCTCCATGTCTGAGATCATCTTTCCAACTAGAGGACCTGGAAATAATACAAATAATAATGAATAATTATTACAATAATCCAGGGGTGATAGTGAGCACTAAATTATTTTTTTTTTAAATCCTCCCCCCCCCCTCAACCACCCTCTCCTTTAGTAGAAAAAAAAAGGATTCTGGGGGGGGGGGGGAATGGCATCCAACAACATTCCCCCCCCCCCCCCCCTTATGAGTAAGAAAATTGTAAAAAAAATTGTGAAAAAATAGAGAAAAATCAGGAAAAATACAGAGTACGGTAAATAAGGGATAATCTGGAAAATTGGGGGTTAAATCAGGAAACCAATTTAAATCGGGCAATTATCAGGCCTGATAATCATATCAAGCTTGTATACTGTACTTTGTTTTCAAGACGTATTGTAAAACAGCATCTGAGGAACCAATACTTCAACAAGCTCTGCTTCTAGTTAGTTCTTCTTTTCTTGTGCCATTGCTATTATATTTGTCTTGCTTCATTGTATATTTTTTGTAACATATACTTATTCATTGTACTATGTTTTGTATGAGAAATAAAATCCTTGAAGTTTGAGTTTGAATTTGAATATGTTGCCATCTCTACATGTTTAACAAATAGCAAAAGAATAAACTTACCTATATTTAATACCACATTTGGAATAGCTACAGTAACTTAATTACAAAATCAGCATATGCCAATTGCACTGTAAGTCATCATGAATTTCATAACAAACGAAGATACAACCCTTTTTTTCTTTTTTTACCACAAAGCTACTTGTTCATCGATTTTGAAAAATAGACAATTTAAGTTGGTCAATATTATTGTAGATGCTAACATTACAAATTAATGTCTTGCCAAAGGAAGTTATTACCAGATTGGGATTCGAACCCTCAACCCTTTGATTGAGTGTCAAGTTAATGAACCACTGTACTACACCATGAATGTATTTAAGTACCTCCTTTTAGTCTGGCTAGTTCCTTTGTGCCGAATAGCATCGCCATGCCGATGTTTGTCAGATTCTCCAGCTTGAGCATGACGTCATTGGATGCCCAGGTAGGGAGAGTACGGTTATGAGCTTGCTGTTAGGATAGGGTCAAGATGAGAGAAGTAGGAAGAGCATTAAAACGTCTACCAATCACCAAAACATGTTTAATTCTCGATGTAACGGGTTCCATGGCACTATACTGCATTTAAATATAAGCTCGAATATTACTTATATTAAGAAATATAGCAGTTTAAATACACCCCTCAGCAATATAACAAACCCTGTTGATTAGACTAATTATCTCACACGTACGCACTCGCATAGATTAGAATAAGGCGCGCACAGAACCCAAGGTGGACATGGGTTCCATGCGAGCACAATATGCAGGATTGCTATGTTATCCTTTATTTTCTTCATTCACCATTTTACCTAAGGAATGACAGGTAGTTTGGGGTTAATTTTATTCATTCTAGCTATACATAATTTTGTTTTCTTTAGAAGATTGGTAAAATAAAAAAAAAAGATAAATAAATAAAGAAGATAGAAAGAGACAGAAATTGATGTAGAGATGAAGAATATGAAAATAAGAGACAAAAAGATAGACACATTTATGTGTATAGAAAATGGTAGGGGCAGTATAAAAGAGAGAATACATAAAAGGAATGGAAGACAGATACATATTCATCTTTTGATGGTTGTTTTTTAATGGTTATTTAAAATAATCAATATTTGTGGCAATAATGCCAAATTGCACATGATTTACATCTATAAAAAAAAACATTCAAAGATAGTACAGAAGCACAACAAAATGTCAAAATATGGGTAAATCAAAAAGAAAGATTTTGCGGGAAAAACATTGCACAAATGTCGGTAAGAGAAGTAAATTGAGAAGTAAATTGGTTGCATGAAATATAAATGACTTTTAGTATTAAATAAAGAAAGAGAAGAAATAAGGAAATAAGAAAGGAACTGAACGTGGTAGCTAACATCCTAGAGAAGGTTAGGTAATTAGATTTAAGACGGTTTGGACACTTTGGAAAGGGCTAATAAAGGAAAATCAGCAAAGGACATTATGACACGAGCAGTGGAAGGAAGTAAGGTATCAAGAGGAAGGGCAAAGAACTCGTTGGAAGGATAACATTGAAAGAGATATGAGGGAAGTAAATCTGACTGTGGCTCAAACAGGGAACAGAAGAGAGAGGAGAGGAAGGATTCGGGCAACCAACCCGTGCTATGGGATAATGGTTCATGGAGTAATAGTAATAGAAGTAGTAGTAGTAGTAGTAGTAGTAGTAGTAGTAGTAGTAAGAAGAAGTAGTAGTAGTAGTAGTAGTAGTAGTAGTAGTAGTAGTAGTAGTAGTAAGAAGAAGTAGTAGTAGTAGTAGTAGTAGTAGTAGTAGTAGTAGAAGTAGTAGTAGTAGTAGTAGTAGTAGTAGTAGTAGTAGTAGTAGTAGTAGTAGAGGTAGTAGTAGTAGTAGTAGTAGTAGTAGTAGTAGTAGTAGTAGTAGTAGTATTAAATGAGAAGAGACAAGAGAAGTTAAGAGAGGAGTGAAATAGAGAGGAAATGAGAAACAAAGACACACATGCATGTACATGTACATGGAAAAGTACCGGTACAGTAAAATCTAAAAGAACAGAAGTCTTGCTTGATGAAGCAACATAAAAACTGAGCTTAAATATCATGTAGAGCAGAGAAAGGCATGAGTAGAGTGAAGAAAGTTTTGCTCGTCCCTTGTTATACCTTTGAAAAGGGTATGAGAATTAAACTGACCTCACAGAAGAGGGGATCTTCTATCGTATACACAGTATTCACTGTGATATCTTCAGTAACACCAGTGTCTTTCTTGAGCTTCTGAAAGAAATCCTATGAGAAGAAAAAAAAGGAGAAAAACATATTCAATTTTTTATTAAATAAGTAATAAAATGATGATTTGTTTATTAGCAAAGAAATGATTTTACAACCATTCTTCCCCTTTTCTTCTTATTTCTGATTATTTGATTTACATTTACAGCTGATAACTACATTATTCATATCCTTACCAGGTACAGTGAATGTGGAAAATTAGTTTGTCCTGCTTTATGTCACTTGAAAATGTGACATATTAAAGCTCATATCTGAAAGTATTCAACAAAGTCCACCTTTCATTCTTGAGCTACATGTAGGAATAAAAAGCAGAAAACTTGCAAGGGGTGTGAATTATTTAGGTGTTTAACTGTATTATATATATGATTTGAATTATACAGTATTACTTTGTATGAGATCAGATACACATACAGGGATAATGCATAGATCTGAAGGGTCACAGAAGGTCATAACTCCATTTCTACATGTATGTCAATTTCTTTATAACATCTCTAGTATTGTAACATTTCTATGTATTGGTATTCCATTTATCACATGTACATGTATGTGTACATGTACATGTATGTCGTAAGGGACCAGCACCACATACGACTTTAATGTTCTTTCTTGCCGGTTTCCTCATTAGTATATATTCTGTATTTATCTTTTGTTATGTTGTTTGTTTGTATGTATGTTGTTTGTATGTTTATCTGTAAATATCACTGTTATGTTCTTACATGTATATGACAAATAGAATAAAATGAAATGACAAAAATGATATTATTAAAACTGACCTTATTTTCCTCATTGATCTGTTTCACGCGGGCAGTCGCCAACTCCTTAGCATACAACTCGTCATAGTACGGGCAAGATGTGCCGTCTGTACGCAATAACTGAGAGGGAGACAAACCAAGAAATAAATGGGTTATTTAAATGAAGTTCAGGGGGGTGTTTCACAAAGATGCTAACGGCTTTCCATAATTTCTAAGTCCAACTTTGAGATAAGTTCAACTTAGGATCTTTGTGAAACACCTCCCTGGTGGTAGAAAAGAATGTTAAAGGAAGGCTACTTAATACTGACATCGCTACCACTGCTGCGATGTATTTTCAATTGCGCCATCTTTTGGTGACTGCATACATAGAGCCATTTTCTGGTTTCTGTCAAATGGAATTTTTTGGTCCAAAATACTCTGAAAAATACAGCTGTATATGTACATGAGCACAAGTGGAAAAATTACTAGAAAATTTTGTTCCATTTCTGCAGCACTACATTGACTGTGCTGTTCATGAATGAGAGCGATTTTAATCACAAATAATCATTGAAGTCTTTAAACAGGCAACACAGAGTGAAATTCATAATCACTATTTGTGTGAACAAATTGGCAACTTCATTTATACTGTTTCATATAAAATCCTTTTTTTTTTAAGTGGAAAAAAGTGGAAAAAAAGTGGAAAATAAATTTGAGTCAATTTGAGTCAATTTAAGGAGAAAAAACTGATTTAAGCTGTTTAAGACCTTTAAAACCTCTGAACTGCTATGGTATACCCATTTATCACAGGCACTGTACGGTCTAGGAGTATGGGAGAGTTGACAAGTCGAGAGATTAAATGAAATGCCTAGAAGCTGAAAAGTTGAGTAGCAAACGAGAACAACAGTCTGTGTTTTCAAATAATCTTCTAATTAATGTTTTAGACTGCTACAGTGTATTTCAATAAGGGTTTAAAAAAAAAAACTATAGAACTACATGTATCTTGACTCCATCTTTTTGTTACCACACACAAAAAAAGGTTTGTAAAAGAAGATAAAAATTCTCACCTCCTAAATCAGTTTAATTACACATGAACTAAACGAAAAGTACTTTTTTTCAAATGTTCATCCATACATCATACTGGAAAGCAATTCGTATGCAATGACATCAAACTTACATAATCATTCTCTTTGGGTTTGGTATGTACTGGGATGGGTTGCCATGATATGTTAGGATTGAACTGCATCTCTGGCAACGGTTGGTAGAGTCCCGACAGATCGCTCTGCGCTGACATGAGACACCGATCCACGTCAGTGCTACGGATATTGATCTCAGTTCGGGTGTAGTTTGCGTTTAGGAATCCGGTGTCTTGGTATCTCTTTCCCAAGAACTGGCCTAGACCGTATTGCATCTGCATCCCAAGCTTGAGAGAAAAAAAAAAGAATTGGTTTAATTTCATTTTGACCTCTCGAGTCTATACCAACACATTTTTTTAACAATGGTAACAATTTATGATTATTAACACAAATGTGACTACTATTGCTTTTTCCATTGCTTTAAAAGGTGTAATACAATGTACATGTACGTGTACGTGTACATGTATGTCCCATTTGCAGGTCAAAAAGATGAAAAGTTTAAATTTGAAAGATAATAGGACCTACATGTACTAATTTAAAACTTCCCTCAAAACGAAATTGCTTAAATATGTCTTTTAATGGGAAAATAACGACCATTAGTTGTCGAATGTACTTTAGTGATTGCTGTTTGTGTTTGTGTAATTGGGTTTTACAGACGTGTATCAATCAGATATGATTATTTTACGTCTTGGGACCGACCTTTAAACGTCACCATCCGAAAGACCTGACTCAGTTTCGAACCTGCATCCTCGGCTGAACCAGTATCGAATTGTACCGAATGGTCATACGTTTTGTGCTGCGCAAAGATTCAATCAGTTTAATTTTGGCCATTACAAGAAGTGGGTTATTGATGTAGACAAATACTCATGTACCCTAACAGCTCATTTTATGTATGTTATTACCAAAGAAAAAAAAAAAAGAAGTCAGTCAATAGTGTCTGACAGTGGAGTCTAGAAAGTAAATGGGTTTCCTTGCATAATTTGAATAGGACACTGCTTACGTTTAAATTTCACAGATGGGACATACCTGACAAATTCATAATTCCTGCAAAGTTCTACAGAATTTGATGATGGCTGCGATAACCAGCAGAATTCTCCAGCTACAACAAGCTTGAACAAAGACACTGACACCTGACCCGACAAAATCATGTTACCGTAACCAATGTACACACAAAAATGGCTAAGAATCAGTATGGGGTTGGTTTGACTGTGTTGGTCATGCATTATGGCCCGAATTCACAAAGGAGGTTTGTCGACAAACCTTGGTTTTCGTACGTCATATGACGCGTTTTATGCGTTTTTTACAAACCTGGTTTGTAAAGAACTTGGAGGTTTGAGCTCAAACCTTGCTTTGTGAATTCGGGCCAATCAGATCACAATACCAGCAGAAATTCTATACAAATTAAAAGGTCAAGTGAACCAATACTTCATTACAATGCTCTCTTTCAACTTTGTGCAAAGTAAAGGCACAATATCATGATAGAATGGTTGAAGAAAGAAAGACAAAAAACATTAGGCAACACTAAAAGACATCAGAGTCTTCTGAAAGAATAATTGGAAGAAAAAGTGGAAGGTACTAAACCAAGAACTAACTGGGAGCGGAAGTTATATTGAAGTCCCTCTAAAGTGTTGGTAGTTCAACAAAATTGATGGTAAAATTTCACTTGAATTGTATCATAATGTGAAAGAGAATTTCATTTAAAGGGATCCGGTAACTTTGTCTTAGATTCTGAAACAAAATCCTGGATTTAGCTCATGCTGCAATTATAATCATAAACCTTTAGGTCAGTCAGGAACTCCATGACTTTTACAATTCGATCGCCTGCCTGATTATCAAGATATTTATGATTGGAATTACAAATTTTGAAAACCGTTTGCCAAACGGTTTTCATAACACTACAGTCTATTAGGAAAAACGAGTGTGGTAAAACCGGTCACTCAAAGATTTTTACTTTTTTGAGGCACTTCTTGATCATTTTGAAGCACAACTTTTTTAGGGCTTCAATATTACACCATATCACAGACCCTGCATGATAACACGTACAAATGTATAGGCCCATGCATCTCAGATTTAACATTGCCTTAACGATGCCTTCAAGACACATTTCTGCAAGGATTTTCAAAAACAAATGTGTTTGAAGTAGTATATTGATGAAAGAATATCGAAATGTAGGTTTTCTGCGTACAACGGAAAACCCAAATTTTGTATTATTTTATCAATATTTGTCTTCAAACATTTGGGAGGGGGGGGGGGGGGAAATCTTTGCACAAATTCTATTACCCCAGCTTCAGCCTACAGTAGCTGCCATTACAGCCCTCCAGCATTTCAAGGAATTAATTCCTGCCAGGTACCCATTTACCTCACCTGGGTTGAGTGTAGCAAATGAAGATTAATGCCTTGCCAAAGGACATTAGTGTCGTGTCGGAGATAGAACCACGACCATTGAATTTCCAATCAAGTGCTTAAACCACTCGACTACAACACTTCTATACATTATGACACCATAAATAAGTGAAATTTTAGTGAAATTTCGCCATCAAATTTTGGGGGAATTTGTGACTCCAAACGCTTCAGAGGGGCTTTAAGACATGGAGTTGGAGTGTAGTAGCGTAGCAGAAAACAGAGATGTGTGGAAGAATGTTACAGTCGTTTAAATCTTACCTTTGAGAGTTGACCCCATCCTTGTGGCCAACTATCCTCCCGATAGGGGTCAGTGGGAAAGGTTTGAGCCGGAGAACGATCACCATGACGATAGAGCTGCGAGAAATTAAACAAAGAAATTCAAAGTGTGGTGAACAAAAGTGACGATAATGACACTAAGGCATAGAAAAGTGAAGATCATGAGTCATGACGGACAAAGAAAGAGGACAAAATATACAGTTCCTCATTCTACCTTGAACAATTGCTGTGGTAGACAAAGCAACATCCCTTCACTGCTATTAATTTAAAAATATGTAGAACGTACAGGTGTTACATGCATATTCACCTGTTCTACACATTTTTACATAATAGCAGTGAAGGGATGTTCCTTTGTCTACCACAGCAATTGTTGAGGGTAGAATAAGGAACTGTATATTTTGTCCTCTTTCTTTGTCCGTCATGTTCATAGGGTCATACGTGTATTACACTTGTTTTTCATTAAATTTGACAGCTGCATGACACACATGTAAAACTTTTTATATTACAGCCCATATCACAAGAATGAGTTTTTCATATTTTCTAAATTAATCAGTTTTCCCTTCTCAAAAATTGGCAAAAAATCATCTTATTTTCCACTCCTTTATATTTTGAAAAATTAATTTTTAGACTTAATTGAAGTAATGTGAATGAAATTGCAAAATTTGCCAAATTGCTTAATTGAACATGAAAATAACTTTTTTAAAATATTTTACTGCATTTTTTTAAATTCATAAGTAAAAAAAAACCTTGGCAGAAGTTGGCACAGGATAAGCACTGCAAGGAGCATGAATTATATATTTTCTCCTTCACGAATGGCCAAATCGTTTCAGTGCAAAGTGGATTTGTGTATTGTGTAGTGTCTCATACATTTGCCTTTAACTTTTAATGTACATTCACGTTCCCAGTAATTTTCCATCACGCTGCCTATATATATTCATTATTCGGACCATGTGTCGTAAGCTATATTTATTCACTGCATTTATTCATGTTCATTCTCATCCATGACTAATCAATGTAACTCTGTGCAATATTATCAATTCTCATTCATGCAATTCTGATCGAATCATTAATTTGCTTAATTGCATGACTACACTTTGCAAGTGTTTTGTCTTCAACATCAGTACCCAGTAAAATAACGAAAAGGAATACTTTTGTTCATGTATTTTATTGTCAGTGCAACCTTGCTTCCTCGTAGCTAAAAGTAAAAAAGAGTTATGTTGTGTGATCAGTGAACAAGCTTTACAATTTCCATTCACAATACGTTGTGCATGATGGGATCGGGATATTTGACTCCGTACTTCGGTCTAATGAAGACGGTCGCAAACTATCCCGCTAGTTGGGAAATAGTGGGATATTTTGCAAACTAGACCGAGATATCTTGGGATATTATCCCGACCAACTATCCAGCTAATTTGCGACTTCGGTCTAATGAAGACGCAAATAGCTGGATAGTTTGCGATCGGGATAGTTCAAATAGCTGGATATTTGGCAATCTCGAGATAGTGAAGACGGGCCTAATGTTCTTCTTGGAAGCTTGAGTGCACGATTTAATTGTTCCCTGACATTTTGTACTTAACAATGTTTTTAACATTTATTCTGTCATTTTTGGATTATGTATCGAATGATTTTAGGCTCTTGCATTTATTACACGTTTATTCGATGCATACCATGTCATGTATTTACTGTTTTATTTATGGCAACCTTGCTTCCTCGTAGCTACATGTAAAAGTAAAATAGAGTTATGTTGTGTGATCAGTGAACACACTTTACAATTTCCATTCACAATACCTCACACACTCATCTCTAAATTGTTTCTCTTCTGTCCTAATACATGTAGCATACTTCTTCCTAGAGGTGTTGTGGATGAGTGGATATGTCACCGGACTGGATCACCTGCGGTTCAAGTCCAAACGTGGCACTAATGTCCTTTGGTAAGACATTGATCTACATTTGCCACTCTCCTCCCAGGTGTTAAATGGGTACCCGGTAGGATGCGAAAGCTAATGTGCTTAGGTGAGCAAGTGTGCATTTGTTAAAATGACGCCTGGCTGGAATGCTCCCCAGGCAGTGGAGAATGTGCATACATTGTCTGTAATATCTGTAAAGCGCTTTGAGAGTGCCTTCGGTCCTGAAAAGTGCTATATAAGAACTAGCTATTATTATTATCATTATTCCTTTCTCACTCTTACTTTTGGAAGTTGTAGGTTTGGTGAATTGACGAATTTGAATGAAATACCGTAACCAAGAAAATAAGAAACAGAAACCAAAGAGGAAGGACGACGGAGAATGGAGAGATTTCAGCAATGTCTCTCGACAAATGAAAGTGGTAAAGTGCAAGATGACTGGGAGTTCTAAGAGAGAAAATAAATTGTGTAGTTTATCAACATGGAGAAATAACCCTGTCTGTTTCTACATGTATAAGTACCACTTCTGAAACTGTAGGTGACAATGACAAAGCAACTCCAGCACAACCAAAAGTTTTGGACAAGTACAAAGAGACTTAAACAACAACATTAGGAACCATCAGAGCAAGAACAAAATCAATCACTTTAAGGAGAAACCTAATTGAAGGGAAGGATTCATTAACATCTCTAATGCAGGTTGAGATGAGAAATGCATACCATACTTTTGATGAATTAATTAATTGAAAGCATTCCACAATTACATTTCAAAGTGCAAACAATGTGAGAATGAGTGTAAGTGACTTCTTTGTCATTTGCACTTATGATGTAGGCCATTATATGAAATACAATATGATCAGTATTTAGAAATGTGAATAAGGACATTTGTATCTTTATGTAATTTTTTTTAATTAAAACTCCAAACTTTAATAGCCATTTTCTCAGATTCTACAAAATGCATGTATACAATTACCATATTGAATAGTGAAACTATGCGCAATGGTGGAGGGCTTATGCCCAAAGGTCGGGTAAGTCGCGTCGCGTTAACTCCCCCCCCCCCCTCCCCGGTTGTGCCGAAAGGGTGCGTTGGGAGTGTCGCGTGTCGCGTCGTGTCTCGTTGACTGGAACGCGATCATTTGTCCAAAGCCCCCCCCCCCCCCCCCCCCCCCCCCCCCCCGTTTTGCCAAAAGCGTGCGTTGACTAGTCTTCCACAATTTTTTTTCAAAATTGCTGCTCGGTACATTTTTCCTGACAGTCGGGCTATTTTTCAAGATGGCCGCCAGGATTTTTTTTATAAAATCAGAAATAGATCATTTTAGCAGTATGTTTTTTCATGTTTTAACTCATTGAAGAAAGAAAAAATAGGAGGCGGCCCCAAAAAAGAAAGCGGGCGGGGACGCTAAACATGTATATTTTATTTAATGGCCATAAATGTCAGTTACACCATTGTAGGAGATAAGAACTGTAGCTCAAAACGGGGTATTTATCTTCTTGCAATGACAGCAGAATGTATTCAGGAAACTCTGGTAGATTTGATAGATGAATTTAATTGTCTAGATGAAGTTCATGTCGAGGGCAAAATAACTAGAAATATTGCAATCTGTATTGCCAGAGATGGTGGCAGAGATTTTGTGTTATCCTTATGTTTGAAGGAGGGCCAAAGATCCTCTCTCCCTTCCCTGAAACAAAAGAATGACGTAGAGCAGGCCTTCTCAACTAGTTTATTAGAAGCGCCCCCCCAAAAATGAATTGAGGTTGAAGTGCCAACCTGTAGGTTTGGTGACTGTGTTACGAGGGAGCGTAGCGACCAAGCCGATACCGGCCGGGGTCCAGGGGGCAAAGCCTCCGGAAGCTAGTGGATTTTAGGGCTTTTTTTAGGCCAAGAGGTGGCATTTTTAACACCTTTTTGTTCCATAAAACATCAATCATAATTTCATAATGATGTGAAATAATTAGTACAATTCCTGGCTAAAATCTACACTGGAAGTTAATTTATATGTAGTTATTTTAGTGCAATAAACACGGAAAATGTCAAAATGAAGTGAAAATCAAACAAACAAAATGGCTTGCTTACATTTTGGGCTCAACTTCGACTGCGACTTTTTAATTTTTCTGAGTTTTTTTATTATAAAATATAATTTTTTAATGTTGTTCTTTCTCTAATTTTTAATTTTTAATTTTTATTAATTTTTTTGAACAGCCGCGCGCCACTCTGACTGACCGCAAGCGCCACGAGTGGCGCGCGCGCCGCCAGTTGAGAAGGCCTGACGTAGAGATTGCCACTAGTGGCTCAGACTATTGTGAAGACTAGGAGCAGCATCACCAAAATATATATTGTGTAGATTAGAGTATAAAACATCTCTCTAGAAAATTTGAAAACAAACTGTCAAGAAATATGGCAGTTAGAGCTTACAAAAGACAGCCACCAAAATATGACCTTTAACCCTATAAAAGATGGAACACAGGTGGCAGCATCACCAAACATGAAAGATTGTAATTTGTGAGTGTTATCATTGCCATTATGCAAGTGTGGAAGAACATCAGATAAAACATGCTCCCTGAAAAGCATGGCTCTTCAAATGCCTTCATTCGTTAAATTCGAAGCCACTCGAGCGGAACGACCAATGAGAGCGCGTAAACTCACTGTACAGCGCTCAATACGATATGCGCGGAGTTCTCCGTGCCTTCCCACTCCAGCAAAGCATAGAGAGTCAATGCTAATCGCTGCGTATTGACCTCTAGCACTGCACTGCGTGTTAATAATAATAGACTAGGCCTAGGCAGCATTTGAATACATGGATAGTCAATACACATATTACACTCACAGCATGAAAACACACACAATCATGCCGATGCAGCTGATCGGCAAAGTTGACTGGCAAAAGTCAGTAGACTCACAATTTGAATTTCTGAATTATTCTTTCTAACCAGGCCAACATCGGAAAGTTGAAACAAGGGAAACGCTCTTGGCGGTCTCGCCTGCATAACGCAATTCAATATGATAAACCAGAACATCAATGACGTAGCGCTCATCCGCATCTCGCATCAACAAATATCGTAAATTTTATGTGGTACACTTTTGAACTGGTCAAAAAATAAAAATTTGATGCCCTGGAAGGGACATAATTTCATTTGATTTGCATAAAGTACCATAAATAATCAATAGAGCAAAATCTCACAATTCTGTGTAAAAGTTTAGTGTTCCAAATTTAGCTCTACCAGATAAGGCAAACCAAATCAAAATCAGTCAAGAAATGAGGGAAAAGAAGCAATTTTTGTTATTTTTGGAATAAATTTGCATAAATTACCATAATTAATTAATCGAGAACAATTTCAAAATCGTGTACCAAAGTTAGCTCTACGATATAAAGCAAACCAAATCAAAATCGGTCGAGAAATGAAGGAGAAGAAGCCTTTTTTGTAATTTCGAATGAATTTGCATAAATTAGCATAGATAATGAATTTCACGATTCTGTGTAGAAATTTTAAATCCCTAGCCCTATCATATAAAACAATCAGAATCAAAATTGGTTAAAATAACGAAGAAGAAGCATTTTGAAAATCTTGATGTTGATGCCACAGGGCAATTCCACGGTAACGGAAGGACACTCAGACAAGATTTTTGAACTTCAGGTTCATACTAAAAGAACTGTTTTATTAGTATAAGATGTGAAACAGTACAGATATAATACCTATATAAGTGCCTTTAATTTTCACACAAAAAATTGTCATTATAGTTAAGTAGTTTAAGAATGTGCATATTAATTATCTCGGTAACGGAAGGACATAAAAATGGACATGGTTTTTCCAGTTAATTAGTGTTTATCCAAACTTTGTGAAGGTGATGAAGCTTCCCACTTGACTGAAACACATTTTGTTCCCCATAGTTTAATACATATGAAGGGGTGACCAAAGTTCGCGGACATTTTAGAACATATTACAAAATGTGATATTCGAACTACGATTTCTCATATTCTACACAAATTTATTGATTTCAATTATAACCAAAGGGACGGCGAAGTTTTTAACTACAGATTAGTTCAACTAGAAAATTTTATCGTCGAAGGATTTCAGAGATATCGCGATCTAAAAATTCGATGTCCGATCGTTCGTGCGCGCTGCATCTAAAAAAGTCATAAAAACAACGAGACCTAACTTCACGCACGGGGGTTTACAGTTGATTTATCAAAAAGTGTGATCCATCAAAAATAAGGTAATATCATAATTTGCAAGGCAAGATATCATACAATCAGTTAGTACCACTCTTTACTTACAATTTTGAGGAAATCTGCTCTCAAATTGAAGATTTTCAGACCCTTATCGGTAAGTTGATCATTTTTCGGAACGGACGCAAAATATTGCAAAATTTGCCGATCTTTTGTCAATATTTTCACAATTTCGTACCCAATTCCAAAGAAAATTTCACTTCTGGGTAATTTTATGTTCCTCTTTCCATTGGTGATATCAGATTTTCGTAATCTTACTGATTTTTTGATATAGCGAACTTAGGTCACGCGCGAACTTTGGTCACACCACCATACTATAAAACATTTCTTTTAGTATGAACCTGAAGTTCAAAAATCTTGTCTGAGTGTCCTTCCGTTACCGTGGAATTGCCCCACAACAAAGTCTAAGTTTGTTGATTTTAAATGACCTTTGACCTTAACTTAGTAACCTGAAATTCTACTCACATGATTGGGGAGACTTGATAACGCTATAGATCTAGGGTCTAGTCCAAGTTTCATTGACTAAGAACTTATACTTTAAAAATTATATCAAAAATTCAAAAACTTAACCTTAGGTTTAATAAGTTTTTGATGTTGACACCGCCGCCGTCACCGGAAAAGCAGCGCCTAGATCTAGACTAGATCTAGATCGATGTCTTGCTTTTTGCTACGCAGGCGAGACAAAAATTGTATTGAGTTTGTATAGATCTAGTGATGTTCGAAATGTTGAGAATCAAAAGCACTAATACACAGCCAGGACAGTAATGCACCTAATGCTCCTCCATGCAATATAATAGACACACACCCATTTTCAAGGTATGGGACTGGGCATCCCGAAATGAAACATTACTTTAGAGTCTAATGTCAATACAATTACACTCTTACCACGTTTACGAGCCGCAGCGTTTGCTCTGACACAGCACCACCGATTATCATGAATATTGCAAAAGAGAAAAGACAAATGGAGGTCGACATCTTCATTTTTGAAGCCTGCTAGCAGTAGCACCTACCAGTGACAGTGATCTGAATGAAGTATCAAGGAGAGTATGACTAACTACGTGCGAGAGTCGAGTCGAGTCGAGTCGAGTGCATGAGTGTGGTCATGTGATTCCTTGCATACCCTTTCCGTTCGCTTTCATGTTTTTCTACAGGGGGGGGGGGGGGGGGGGGGGGGGGGGGGATTTGTGTTACTGTTGCGGTACAAACCACGTACCTCGATCCCATCCATTGCATGCTCCTGTGCATGGGCCAGTGGCGGATCCAGCCGGCGGGAAGAATGGGGGGGGGGGGGGGGGCCAATCCGAGAGATAATATTAGTTGCAACTCAGCCACCGGTGAATAAGCGGGGGGGGGGGGGGGGGGGGGGAGGGGGGAGTAGGAGGCACTGTTTTTCAAGTTGGTCCAATTTTTCAGGAAATATTTTGCGCCGACTCAGTCAGCCGGTATATAAGCGGGGGGGGGGGGGGGGGGTGGGGAGGGGTTTGACCACTTTTAGTTTTTTTTCACCTAATTCGTGAGAATTTTTTGTTGTTGACCCGGCATCCTATTTCTTATCGTTTTGGGGGCTAGGGGGGCCCGGGCCGGAATAATCGCTACGTGGATCCGCCCCTGGCATGGGCAAGGCTTTTATTAAGCTACCCCCACCTGTTTTAAGTACCCCAGAATTAAGTGACCCTTTTTTTTTTACTTCCATGAGAAGCGCCCCTTCTTGTAAGTGCCCCTTTTAACCTCGTATAAGTACCCCTATTCAAATACGATAACTGCCTCTTTTACTTTGACAAATGTCCTCCCCTATGAAATGCCTTTCCCCGGATTATACTATGTGCCCACGCATTTTGACAATTAATAATATGGCCTATAAATGCATGTCCGAATGAAAAATATGATTGCCCCTTGCTTTACTTTGACAATGCCTAATTTGTCTCAAATTTTAGTTGACCAGCCCACCTATACTTTCCAAACAAGTATTATATGTCTAGTTTCCTTTGATATGGACCACTTTTCCTTCATAATTGTACTGCCTCTGATAAGAAAGTGCCCCTATTCAAATATGATTTTCTCTGAATATGCCCCTATATTCCTTTCCTTTTTAATGAGTGACCTTCCTCCGATTAAAGTGCCCTTTTCAATTTTTTTTTTCATTTTTTCATTTCAAAGACTTTATTTTCTGCAATCAAACAAATCAGTTATACAACAAATATGGATAATTATATAAAACATAAGGTATGCAAACAATATACAAAATATAAAAACAAATGTATAATTTATACGTTGGGCCATTGCGTGTATAAAGAAAGAAAGCAGAAGGTCGTCGTTATAAGCAAAAGCTTGAGCAGACGGTCAACCGAGCTAAGATAAAAATGAGTTGTGAAATATTGGCAAAGTAACAAGAAGAGGGGGCCATGATACTCAAATGATATATATTACAATTGAATGTGAATATAAACAGTTGGATTCAATATAAATAATTATAGAATTAGCATATTAATCTCATCTTTATAAGGCTACTAATTATACGTTAATGACAGAGATAAGAGAGAAACTAAACAAAGACAAGGGTGCAAGTGTCCTCATGCGCCAAAATGTTGAATCGTCAGTATTACTGTGTAACGTCAGACCAAAATTTAATGTAGTTTCTAAAGTTTTACAAAGAACGCTTTTATTTTTTAATTTTTTTTTATCTTTATACATTATATTGTGAAATAATGTTTTTTTAGTGTAGCTTTAAACGAATACAGAGATGTACACTGTTTAATATGTCTAGGGAGTGCATTCCAAATGTCTGGACCGTGATATCTTATGGACTTATGCGCTAACAAAGTTTTAGGATTGTGTAAATGAAAATCAGTACAATTACGCGTTGGGTACACTGGCGTACCTATGGGGGGGGACAGGGGGGCAGAGTGCCCCCCTGACGGGCTCCAGGGGGGAAAAAGAAAAAGAGGAAAGAAAAGAAAAGAAAGGAAAAGGAAAGAAAAAGAAAAAAAGGAAAGAAAGAGAAAAAAGGAAAAAAGGGAAAGAAAAAAGGAAGAAGAAGAGAAAAGGAAGAAAAAGGGAAAATAAAAGGAAAGGAATAAAAAAGGGGAAATTAAAAAAAAAAAAGACCATGGCCGTACGCACCAGGGGGGGGGGGGGCAGTTGACCCCAGATATTTTGAAAACGTAGAGTTTTTTTTCCTGAAAATGTAGTGTAGGCCTATACCAAATCCTTCAATTCTACTTTTGAAAATGCAAAAGTACCCTCACGACCAGTTCGGTCGCTCGAACTCCCTTCACTCCTTTTGCTTTTGAGATTCTTCGAAAACTTTTAACGCATCTTTCCCCTCCCCCACCAGAAAAATATTCCGCATACGGCCCTGAAAAATTAAAGCAAATGAAAATAGGAAAATATAAGTGATATAACAAATTTGAAACTCTTCGCTGGCGCGAACTGCTTGCTAGCCTATTTTGTATTAAATGTTTTCACTTGCTCGTCCCCCTGAAAAAAGAAAAGGATTATTATTGCCTAGAATACAATTGTGCCTGCCCCGACGGGCCCCGACCTGCAACCATGGCAACAATTATGTACCAAATGTTACTAAAAGAGACTAATTCATTTTTCTCGCTCGCGAATAAAATGAATAAACATTGCTTTGGAAACAATTGTGCCCACCCTTGACCTGCAACAATATCATTAAAAATGGAAGAGTTTTTTCGCCCTCTCGCCAAAAAGGAATTGAATCGCGTTAAACGCGATTGCGTCCATCCTGACCTGCACCAATAAAAACAAGTTTATTTATTAATTTCTATTAAAAGAGAATTTTTTTTTTGCTTGCTCGCTATGCTCGCTCGCCAAAATGGAATTGACAACGCTAACGTATCCGCCCCAACCTGCAAAAACCAGTTAATAATTATGTACCAAACGTTATTCAAAGAAGTTTTGGTGTGCTCGTGCTCGTGCTCGCCAAAATGGAATTAACATTACCTTAGACATGATTGTGTAAGCCCTGCCCTGCAACAAAAAAATCTGAAATTTATGAACCAATTATCATTACAAAATTTTTGCTCGCTCGCTACGCTCGCTCGCCAAAATAGAAATAACACCGCTTTTAATAATCACGTCCCTTACATGGAACAATGAACCCAAGTTTATATACCATATTTTCCCTATAAAAGAGAAGTGATTTTTTTTTGCTCGCTCGCCAAAATAGAAATAACACCGCTTTTAATAATCACGTCCCTGACATGGAACAATGAACCCAAGTTTTATGTACCATATTTTCCCTATAAAAGAAAAGTGATTTCTTTTTTTCGCTCGCTACGCTCGCTAGCTCGTGGAATTATGTGCCCACCACTAACCTGCTACAATATCATTAAAAAGAGAAATGTAGGGGGTTGCCTGCCCGCCAAAATGGGATTGACATTGCCTTAAACACGATTGTGCCCGCCCCCTAACTGCAACAATGAAACAAATTTTATATAGCAATTCATTGAGAGAAAGATGTATTTTCGCTCGCTAGCTAAAATGGGTATGAAATCACCCTAAACACAATATTGTTCCCGCGCCCTGCATGGGACAATAAACCAAGTTTAAGTGGCAATTATTAAAAAAGAAGTGATTTTTTTCTTGCTCGCTACACTCGTTTGCAAAAAAAATGAAATTAACGTCGCTAACAAGTGAATGTTCCCACCCCCAACTTGCAACAATACCAGTTTATATACCAAACGTTACTTAAAGATTTGTTTTGCTCGCTCGCTCGCCAGAAGTGAAAATTAGCATCGCCTTTTTTGTTTGTTTCGGTCGCTTGCCCCCCCTGACGGAGTACCCCAGGTACGCCACTGGTTGGGTATGAGTGAAAATGGGAATTAGGAATAAATACGTCATGAAAAAGAGGAAGTGAATTTTGTGTGTATTACAGATTGCTGTTTGATATATTAAGTGCAAATCACTCACTTTTAAAACGTTTAATCTATAAAATAACGGATTTGTATGAGCTAAGTAATTAGAATGAGTACAAATCCTAAGTGCTCTTTTTTGCAAAAGAAAATTATATTAATCTTAGTTATACTACAGTTCCCCCAAACTACATTACAGTATGTAAAATAAGGTTACACTATTTTATGCAATATATAATGTATAAAGTATTTTCTCGGGTACAAGGTCCCTCATTTTACCAATTACCCCAACTGCCCTTGAAATTGATGTTGTAATATTATTTACATGATTATTCCAAGTAAGCTTTGAATCCAAAGTTATACCTAAAAATTTTGTCGATTTCCTTTCAACTATAGAAATATCATCAATAACAATGTTTATAACCTGATCAAAGTGTGATTGGGAAGCACAAAAATGTATAAAACATGTTTTATCTAAATTAAGGGATAATTTATTGCATTTAAACCATGTTGAGATTTTAACTAATTTATTGTTGAGAGTATAAATTAGAGTATTCAAGCATTCATGAGAACAAAATATGTTAGTGTCATCTGCGAAAAGCACGTAAGTAAGAAGTGGTGATGACTTTACTATGTAATTAATATAAATAAGAAAAAGAAGGGGGCCTAAAATTGATCCTTGTGGAACACCACATAACACATTTAAGTTAGGGGAATTTACTGACTGAAATGAAACAAATTGCTTTCGATTAACTAAATAATTCTTAAACCATTTTAAGGCTGTGCCTCGTATACCATAATGAGTAAGTTTTTGCAACATAATGTTATGATTCATGGTGTCAAAAGCTTTTGACAGGTCCATAAATCCCCCAACCAGGCGCGTACACAGGAGGGGGGGGGTATTTTTCTGTGTTTAAACCCCCAAAACCCCCCTAAAACCCCACTCCCCCTTTGGATTTAAAAAAAAAAAAAAAAAAAAATTATTTATTAAAAAAACACAAATAAATTCCCATGGCTGACCTAAATAAGCTGACCTTACACCCCCCCCCCAACGGAGCAAAATGTCAAATGTTCAAATTTCGAGATCAAAAAAAAAAAAAGTGTCCTCTTTCCTGAAAGCTGTAGGCCAAACTAAAGTATAAGCATAGGGCTGTATTAAAAAAAAAAATTGTCCAGATTTTAACAGGTAGTTGTTTATTTAATTTCAGAACAAATATATCAAATAACGAAGAAAATTGAGGCAGTTCGATAACAAAGGAAGGAGGACTACAAGAAATTTGAAATTAATAATTGTTACTTGGCAACTTGAGCCGGGGATGGACCAACAAATGTTTGTCTGCTAAAATTGTTTATAAAATTAATCGTTAGTATTCATGTTACATCGCGCAAATGTGTAACACTAGGGGGCGTTTCACGTAACTTGTCATCAGGACACTAAATGACAGTTTTTGTTATAAGCTACTGAAATCCTTGCTTCTGATTGGTTATCAGCAGATTTGTCACTGATTTGTGTCGTTTGTCATTGAAAAAAGGCTTTGTGAAACGAGTCCAGGGGCGGCGGAGCGTCTTTCAATTTTTTTTTTTTGGGGGGGGGGGGGGGGGGGGGGCACCGCCAAAAAGGCACTTATTGGATCATTTTTTTAAAAGATTTGTGAGGTCGCAGTTCGAAAAATTATATCTTATAAAAAGGCGAAAATACAATCCTGATGGGCACAATCAAATCATGACAGAATGAAAAGACCTCTAATTAAAACAAATTTATATCAACTTTAATTGCGAGCGAGCGTATAGCAGAGCATGCTTTGGGTGAAATTAAAGACAAAGTTGCTTGTAGTCGATTTAAATTAGGAGTAAATTTTGTTGTGAAAAGAAAAGGGGGCAATTATCCAAGGGGAAAAGGACACTAATTAGGGAAAAAAGGACATGGTTTCAAAATAAAAAGGGGAATTATCTAAGGAGAAAAAGTACTTCTCGCACTTGATAAGAGCAGGGAGATCCCTAATAAGAGGCACTCACCAGAATTGCAAAAGGACACTTATGAAAATGGAAATGGGGGCATTTATTAAAAAAGGAAAAGTAGCAATTATAATAAGGAAAATGGCACTTTAGTTATTAAAAAGGATGAGGGGGAATGTGTCAAAATAAAAAGAATACTTAGGGCCTATCACTTATCAGTTTTAAACAGGGGCCCTTATTTCAAAGTTATACAGGGGCTGCCGGGGCTCGGGGTTCATGCATTTATTTTCAAATGTTCCTCGCATATTTCAGTTCAGGTGGTGGGGGCTCCAATTTTTTTAAAAGGGGGTTTGATTCTCTTCTCCCAAAATGATAATAATTATAAAATCCTCTACAACCACTTTTTTGTTCATTATAAATACAAAGAGGTCGATCAAAAATCATCACAGATAGAGAATGGAGGGAATACTCCCGCGTTTAAAAGAGAGAATGTATGGACCTACACAGGCGCGCCGGAAGCAGTTTGGGATTAGGGGGGGGGGGGGGACATTCCAGGGTGCTCACCTTCCAGGGGCAGTGACGTAATGAGCAACAACTTTTGGAAGGGGGGCGCAGAAAAAAAAATATGCATCACCACCACTCTTACAGGTTACATGCAGGCCCCGCGGAACGTTTTTCAAAGTGGAGTTAACGATCAGGTAGAGCGTAAATTGGCGTGGGGCAGGCGCGTACGCAGGGGGGGGGGGGGGTGATGGGGTTGGGGTTAAACCCCCCCCTTGATTTTTTTTTATGTGTATGTTTTGTGTATGTTTTTTGTGAATCCCCCCTTCCTTTCTTCTTACCCCCCCCCCCCCCCCCTCCCCGCTTATTCAGCGGCTGGCTGAGTCGTTGCGATTTTTTTTTGGACTCCAAAAAAAAAATCTGTAACCCCCCCCCCCCTCCCCCCCCCCCCCCTCCCCCCCCCCCCCCCCCCCCCCCCCCCCCCCCCCCCCCCCCCCCCCCCCCCCCCCCCCCACTGAGCGACTTTTCGGCTGGCCGAGTCGTTGCGATTTTTTTTTGGACTACCCCCCCCCCCCCAAAAAAGTATCCGCTTACCCCCATCTTTACTCCTTTACTGCTTTTTTTTTTCTGCCCCCCCCACCCCCAACTTCCGGCGCCTATGGACCTACACGAAGACCTTCATTTGGAGGCCTAATAAATGAAATCTGTTTAAAATATTTTATATCTCCCAGATTATATTATACAAGATGAAAAAATTCTTTGTTTGTGACACCACAATTCTTGTAGTTGCGTATTTAGACGGCCTTGGGTTCAGGAGAGGCAAAAAATCTCAGCTTATAATAAACAGTTTTATTCATGAAGAATCACGGATCTGTCAGGAGGAGGCAACCTTGCCCCCCCCCCCCCCCTTGGCTCCACCCCAACCCCATCACCGAACGTGCCTACATCAAATACGCAGTGAAATAAACAATTTTGGTGAAATTGCCTCGGCACTCAATGTCCAGTCGAGCGTCCCTTTGTCCATAAACGGGATTATCTCAACTAATCAAAACATTTTTGTATTTTTGTTGTATATCTCTTTATTTGCTTTTTAGGAATGTCTTACGGTTGCCCCCCCCCCACCCCAATTCCCTCAGAATCAAAGCATAAACTGACCGCGCCCATATTTTCCCTACTGCCACCCATTCCCTCACAGCATTTAGCAAACTTGACCACGCCCATGTTTTCCCTGCTGCCCCCTCCTCGAATTTCCAAATGAAGTTATCCCTATGATTGAACACGTGCGTGTGTGCATTGATCGCGCATGTACCCTTTACATTACATTTGGTCCCATTTGCCATTTTGTTTAGAGGCATGAAAGTCAATAACCTTCCAATACAATGTAACTTAAATTTAAAAGTGCCCCGCCCCTTCATGCTTCTTGCAAATTGTTTGTACCGACACGACACCCTAGTAACAAAAAACAAAAAAAATCATCTCTAGACTCTACTTCATATTTTCGTATTTTAATTCGTTAAAACTTTGTAATTTCTTTACTTCTACAGAATTATGACAAAAGCCTTCATCATCCTCATTATCTTTTGTTTTGTAGTTATCAATTTCTTCTTTCGGATCGATATCGAGCGAGCTTCATGTATTTTCATGACGTGATGACGTCATTTCACCGCACGCCATATTTGCAAGCATTACAAATTGGAAGCCGAATGAGTGATGCGACAAGACAACAAGAATCATTTTTGCGTTTATTGATACCTAGTGTATTCAGACCGTGTTGTTGATTAAAAATTAGGTAAGTTGGTATATAAATGCTGATATAAATGTATTTCTGCTTTTGTAGATATCCTATAAAATGTGTAATTGTGTGCCGCTTTTTGCCGAGTGAGTGGAACAGTGTTTGATTGTATGGGCCCACATACTGAAATATTTGTATTGATAATGAAAGCGGGTGACATTAGCCATGTTAGCGAACATGTAAAAACAAAATAAAGATGGAAGAGAGATTGTAGAATTACTGATGCTTTCCTCTTTAGCAGAATATTGTACACAACAATTTTTCTATTCAGTTGTGGGTTGTGAGATCATGAATTCATGATGAAAGGCCTGCAACAAATTTCTCTCCAAAATTAAAGTCAATTTGATTGAATTTGAAACTGAAAAAAAGAAATGTCAAATGAAAGTGAAAGAAGTGTGAAATGATTTCTTTTATTTTTAATTCATCTTATTTAAATTGACATGATCAGTAGCGGCACTTGTCTGAGAATAAGGATCCTCCGCATAAACAAGGATCGTCTTCGTAAATGCGGCCTGCGGACAGATGCGTCCGCCAAAAAATAGGGATCGTCCGCATTTTCGCTGGTGATTCTGATTTTCAGTAGGGTCGCTAGTCCCAGAATGAGGATCATGCGATGGCTAATTTTGCATTGCGAATAATTTGGAGTAAGACTAACTTGGACCAGAGACACCTCGGCCCTGCTGCAAAAATGGTCAGTTTTTGCAGGTTTAAGAGTTAGGGTTAGGGTAAAATGACAAAAAAATGACTGTTTTTTAAGCGGGCTGAATTGTCCTCGGTCCGAGTTAGCCCAGATCCCTTATTTTTATATCAAAATTACATTTCACCTCACTATCAATATATACATGTACATGTACAAAGGCTGTGCATAACCGTGTAATGAGGTACTCGAGTACACTCCCAGGCTCACAGGCGAATACTTGAATATTCGGACGCAATGTTTTTTTTTGTTGAATTTTTCGTTTTTTTTTGTTGTTTTTGCCACCATCATACTACGTGAGAAGTATTCCAAGTCCGTCTCAGAAAATTCAAACGATTTTACTTTGAGTTTAGCTGAAGGCGCCGACTTAATAATAATAATAATAGTGAACAATGCTGTTTTTAAAACCAAAGATGACAGAATAATCCATTTTCCTCTGAGTCCAAACAGAAATCCTGACATTTGGTCCCAGTTTCTTTTACCCGCTGTACCATGCCGGCGCTGCCTCCCGGGAACGGGTAAGCGTCGGCCTGGACAGTGCCAGGTGCTGGCCAAAAAAAAAAAATGGCGGCCGAATATTCGAGTACGAGAAATCGTACTTGAGTAGTTGTTAACAGTGCAAGTACAGTACTCAAGTATTCGACTACTCGTAGTAGCCTTAACATGTACATGTACATGTATGAATGAGCGCTTACACTCACCCCCCCCCTCCCCCTCTTAATCTTGGCCTATTACCACCAATCAGATGTGCAGTCAAAAAGAGAAATGATATACATGTACATGTACACGTTATTATCGCTCCAACTTCAACATAGGAAAATGCTCAGTGCCCCGCACCCTGGTAGAGTAAGACCTTATGATCATTTGGTTAAAACCAACACGTTGCCAAGTTAAGATTTCATTTTAGTTTTCCTTTTAAAATTCCTGTTTTCAAACAAAATATTATCATGAAATAAAAATGGATGCAGTGTGTGCAGAATTTTTTGCCCTTTCTACTCGTGCATTTGGCATGCATTTTAGGGCTTTGATTGAAAAGTTATTGAGCCGAACCACAAAATGTAGAATGATTGTCACGAGAGGGTAAGTAAAGAGAAAAACTATTTTAATAGTCTTGGCTTTAAATCTCATATCAAACTAACATGTACATGTGTATGTACATGTACATACATGTAGAAGTGGTACACTACATGTAGATCAAGTCACACTCGCAAACTCATCTATAATCTGGTTCAGTGCTGTATTAAGAGAGTTTATTTGTAATTAATTTTGAATACATGAAATTTTCTCTGCATGACAAAGACAAAGATGATCTAATCACACAAAAACTTGCCAAAGTCCATTGTGATGACATTCATAACACATGTACATGTTGGGAAGCACTGTACTATATTTAGAAGCATGGATGGTGCAATCCCCAACACTGAAGTATTACACACAGACAGTGCTTAGTCTACATAATACATCTCTGTTCCCTATTTAGCACTGGTCATTCTTGCACAACTTATTCATAATTATACCTATTTGCCCCTTTATACGATCTATATACTTCTGCACTTGTAAGCCCTATTGCTAGCTGTAAATCAGAAAACAAAAGGCCTTTTTGATTTCAATTAATGTTACTTTTTTCTTTAATTTACATGTACCGGTAATTGATGTAAATGTACATACATGTATGTGTGTTTAGTACTGTACAACACTTAATATGGTAATTTGTATGTAAGATTATGTGATTTATGTCCAAATGGATGAAGTGAAACGGGAAAAGAATTGTGATGGTCGCAGGGTACATGTACATGTAGATAAATTCAAATGTTCAATTTTTGATCTGTGTTAAAAATGAAAAAATTGTTGCTTTAGTTTTAGTGATCAGACAGACTACAAATGCATGTCTATTTTGTTGTGCATCTACAAGCAAGTCCTTGAAAACTGACTCTACTACCGGTATCAGTCTTGAAAATATGATGAAACCAATAATTTTTCAATGTAGAAGTCCATAGTGGAGGCGTAATGGCTTCGTGGTAGAGCAGGAGGTCCTGGGTTCAAAACCAATTTGAGACACTAGTGCCCTTTGGTAAGGCATTGATCCTCATTACCAAGTCCCTCAGAGAGAACTGGAAGTCCTTGGTCCACTGGTTGCTTACCTTCCATCATGTACATGTATGCTTTCTTAGCAGTCATGTAAAACAAATTAAAAAAAACAAATGAAAAAACAAATGTATTTTGAAAGGGTCTGCGAATGGAAACTACATGTATACTATCACTTTCTTGTAAACAAGTCTACCAGCTGACTGGGCTGTGGTAGTCTTTTGTCCACAGAACAATGGATGACTAATAACAAGTAGGAGCTTGTTGATAATGTTCCAGGACATAGCTTTGTTATGATAACTTGGGATAAGAACAAAGGAGGTGTCTGGACTAGGAAGTCTAGCATGTTTTGGAGGGAAGTTTTTTGGTCAGTATTGCATACTCTGTCATGGCCAAGGTTGTCTTGCACTGTTTTACCAAGAAATAGGAAAGATTGCATTCTTCCTGTTACAAATTCTCTGAAAGACATAATTGGTGAAGCCCATTCAAATATCTGTATTCTGTGAGTAGAATTCCTATTGTGTAGTATATATGTATACATAAATGTTTTTCCTGCATTTTTCATGTGCAGTAGATGTGTGCCGAAAATACTTGGAAGAAAGATAAGCATACCTGTACACCTGTAACCTGTATAGTTTCAGGCTCTCAGTGGTTTCCAGCAGTCCAAATCATAGGCAAAAATTCAACTCAACAGTACCTTCGGCAAATAGATTTTTTTTATTTTATAGAAAGTATATTTGATGTTGATTACCAGCACAGTTAACTCTGCCGACATGTACCGTAAGTCAAATCTCTTATGACTGCAAAAATAGTCGAATTATTGCAAACTACAACTATAGGAAGTGTTACATGTTTTGTATAGCTTGATTATTGAACTTGAAGCTTGAACATACGGTACCCACTGCATACATACATACAGGTTGGCTTCAAATCCTTGCAATCCGTTGCCCCACGCCTACGGAGCAAACATTTCTGAGAAATAATATTTTACTTGACTTCTTCATAAAATATACAAGGTCATACCTCGTCCTCTACTATTCTCATTTTTTCCTGGGGGGTGTTTCACGAAGATCCTAAGTTGAACTTATCTCTAAGTTGGACCTAAAAATTATGGAAAGCCATTAGCATCCTTGGAAACATTTTGTAAAAGTTATTTTAAAAGACATAAAATGTTGATTCAAATCATTCATATTTACTATTATCATGGGAGATTCTATGTTCTTGATGTGGAATTAATAAAAAGTCTAAAATACTTGAATTTCTGTTTTTGAATATATTTCATTTTAAGACTCCAATGGCTGTCCATAATTTTTAAGTCCAACTTAGAGTTAAGTTCTACTTAGGATCTTTGTGAAACACCCCCCCTGGACTATTAAAGAGACAGTGTCTTTTATCCTCTGTAAAATGTAGATATGAAGCCTATTATTAGTAATTCTATTATTACTTACGGTATTATAATTTTTTGGGGGGAATAATTTTTTCCTTTTTTTCTTCTCTCTCTTGACTACAGGTACCAGTGAGGGACGTAATTGAGAAAGAAGCTCACAAAGAGAGAGACTGCTGTAGACTTTGAACCCTGAGGATCGTTACAAAGGGGGTTTTCCCTTTTGTCAATTCATACGTGTGTCCATGACATTCCAAGAACTTGGTTCTTTGAGCTTTGTGTGTACCCAATTGGGAATTCCACCAATTGGGAATACCACCTATATACCACGTGTGAAGATATCTACATTTACATGTAGTTGAGTATGTGGAACACTGCATACCACATTGTACTGTTAGCAAGTGAAAGAGAGAATTACATTTTATATTACTTCTTTGGGCGAGAAACACTTAAAATTGGACAAGATTCTGTATTCGTCGGAGATGATACCAGGAAATGTATTCTGTAAAGATTATTAAAAGGAGAAATATTTCTTTTGAAAAGGCTTTATTAGCCTACTGAGAATAGCAGTACAGTATCCTGTAATTATTTCTGGGGCCCCATGCACTGGGAATCGTGTATGTGCATACAGGAAAAACTTACCTGATAGTACAATTGTGGTACTTTCACATAGAAATCTGAGTTTGAAGAGGAAGATAGACACGAAGAAAGGCAGGCCTTTGCTGGCACACTTTGAACAAAATCAACTTGTTTTTGTTGTGGACGATAATTAAAAATAACCATGGCAACGGGTACCTCTACGATTACCCAGACGGTGCAGGAGGACACGGAGGAGAACGTGATTGAACAGACGGAGATGATCGTCAGAAACTTCTTCCACCAGAGGCTGGCGATGGACATGCAGGATCAGACGAATGATATTAATATATCAACGCCTAGGATACCAGAGTTACAGAATTTCACTGCAGACCCTTTAAGGTAGTTCCCAGTTTATTTAGAATAGTTGTCCACTTCAAGACTTCGGTGGTAAGCGCTTGATAAGCACCGTTTGTAATTTTTTTTTTACTATTATTATTATACAGTCAAACCTGCTTTAGTGACCACCTGTCTACAACAATTTAGGCCACATCTGTTGTTTCTCTTGAAAATGGTTTCTCATTGAATCATGTACCAAAGGAACCTGTATACAAAGACCACCTGTTTTGAAAGGCCATTTTTTGTGTTTCCCTTGGGTGGTCGCGATAGACAGGTTTGACTGCAATTTATTTATTATTATTATTCATTATTATTAATCAAATGATATTGGTGTTGATTTTAAACATTAACAATGTGTACACGTACATGTAGTTTTTGATGACATTTTGGTATGCACCCCCCCCCCCAAAAAAAAAAGGAAAAGAGAAAGGAAAGAAAGACCACAAAAATCTTGCATGCTAACAAATATTCAAAACCAAACATTTTATTCTTGTTCACATACAGTACATCTTTTGGGAAAGAAGAGATTCATTTTTAAGTTTTCAATGTTGAAAATTATGGATTGAAATGAAATTCCAAGTAATTTCCATGGTTGAATAACTTCCTTGAAAAATGATTGAACCATAAATAAGTGACGAATGTGAGCATTTCTTTGCACATTAGTTCCTGACTTTATACACAGTCCTATAGCAGGTCTTTAGGAGACTGTTTCTTTTTCATTTTCTTACCGATTGTTTTGTATGGTGAAGAAAAAAATCAGTATTTGCAGTTTCCACTGGTTTCATGCAGGTTCGCACGTAGAAAATATACTACCGGTATATTATACAAACTAGCAGGACCCGCGGAAATCCGCGGGATTCTAGAGGGGGGCGGGGGGTGTAAATAGATATATAGAGACTGTCTAAATTAAAACCACCGAGAACTTTATTTGCCATTCAGGCCATTAAAAAAATATACATGTTTAGCGTCCCCGCCCGCTTCCTTTTTGGGGGCCACCTCCTATATTTTTTTTTTTTTTTAAACAGCTTCCCCGCCCGCTTCCTTTTTGGGGGCCGCCTCCTATTTTTTTTTTTTTTTTTTTTTTTTTTTTTTAAAGAAAAAAAACATGAAAAGCACTGCTAAAATGTATTTCTGATCTTAAAAAAGAAAAGAAAAAAATTGTCGGCTGCCATCTTGAAAAAAAGCCTGAATGTCAGGGAAAATGTACGGAGCAGCCATTTTGAAAGAAAAAAAAAAAAAAAAAGGGCCTCCTCCTTCCCATTTTTCAGAAAAAACAGGACGCTAAACATGTTTTTTTTTAAATTTGGCCTTATATAAAAATTAAAAAAAAAACGATCCAACTGTACCGGTAGTTATTCTTTAAGCCACTGGAACTGCGTAGAGTTCCGTAGTGTGGCGTACCGACTACGCAGAAATTAGGCTGCGTATTAATGGGAAAATAGTCCCTGCGTAGGTTATGCGTAGGCTGGAGTACAGGTTTGCTTATATGGTTGCTTACTGTGTGGAAAGCTTTTACTGCTTTGACGATCTGGCGTAGGGTAGCATAGTGTTGCGTAAAAAGGCGTACTTTCTGCGTCAAGTTTCTACGCTGAAAGTACGCGAAAAAAATTAAACATGATGACTTGTTTTCGTTCATCTTGCGTACCCCTTTCTGTCCCTCAGCATATAGTAACGTAGGCCAGCGTAGTTGGTAGCAACACTACGCAACTCTACGTATTGACCCCACGCCAATTAGTGACCCACAAGTGTCACAAATAAAGTATTAAAAATATGCTCATCTGACCCTAATTAAACGCCTAAAACCCCCGAGCTTTCGGGGGTTTATGGCCCCTTGAAACCCATGGACCCCACGCCTATATTGTATATACACTCAACTCGCTGCGATCTGATCTCTCCCCCCCCCCCCCAACTTTGAAGAACGTAACCCCCGAGCTTTTGGGGGTTTATGGCCCCTTGAAACAAATATACACTCAACTCAGGGTTTCAGGTTTCCTTCTTCATAATTGCCTATTTAAAAAAAAAACATTTTTCTAGTTCAATAACTAAGTTTTCATGCATTGATTTGATGCAAGAACTGTAACATAATAGACCCTAGATTGTGATTATTTCTGACCATAAATTTCGATAATTATTTTTCAAAGTAAAATTTTCACAAGAAAATCAGACAGTCGTTTAAAAACGTAGACATTAGTAATACTTTTACTAATTCTAAGCTCAGGTTTCGTAAATCTATTCACGAAACTATATTGAAATCGCGGCAATAATGATGCAAACCAACAGATAACAATTTCAAAGTGTCAAATCTCTTCGACTCGAGCTCAGCTCAGCTGTACTCACACACATAACACTCCAGCGCCACTCCATGAAGCTCGAACACCGGCGCCGCAGGCCTCGGACGCCTGCGGTGCCCGGTGCCGGTGTTGGAGATTCCTTGAGTTACTGCACTGTGATGTGTGGTGACTGAAGTTAGCTTGCGACTGAATTGTCAGTCCAATGGTTTTCTTGTCAAAACTTTCCTTTAGAAAATGATAATCAAAATTGAGTATACATGGCCGTAATAATCACAAAATAAGCTTTGATATCATACCTCCATTCACGAAAACTATATAAAAATCGCGGCAATCATGATGGAAATAGGTCTCTAAGTTTGGACGTCGACGGGAAGCCCCGTGTATCTCTTGTGCAGCTACTACATGTATGCAAGGCACATCCTAGCTACAACAAAGCACATCCTATAGAAAGATGCTTTACTCTCGGTAATCCCGCCCTTTGCATAGAGCATTTAATACGCAACTTAATGTGAGTGGATAGTCATCGGTCGTGTGTCTACGGATGTCATGTTGAATATCCATGAGGTATCTCTGTCGTCACGCATATCCTGCATTATGCATGTCGCGTCTGTTTTCGCCCTGGACGTCGACACGGAGGAGGACCTCGGGCGGAGTATAGCCAATTCGCTAGAGTAGACTCTCCCGCGGACGATGGCACCGGGCACGGGTACCCCGAGGGGAGGGTTCAGGAGGAGATAGCCGCACCAACTTGGGTCGGCGATCTCATTAAAAAACAATAGAATACAAAGGCTCGCGGAGACGTCGCGCCCCCCGCGGAGCCTTAGCGTATTATTATTATAGATATACACTGCCTTGAGAGGTTCTGGTTAAAACTATGCGCAAGAGGTGACTCCAATATTCTATTTGCTGAGGGGCGCAGCCCCAAAGCAAATGGTACTTTTGGAGTTACTGAGGCCTATAGTTTAACCAGCACCTCGAATAGAAGGCATGGTATATTTGTTTTATATCCTGCATTAAAAATTTATTTAAAGAAAAAAAAAAAAAATACATTTTCGGGAAGAAAAAAAATTTAGAACAACAAAAATGACAATTTTTATCTAAAAAGATTTAAAATATTTTTTTCTTCATTAAATTAAGATTTGAAAAAAAAAAAAAATCAATTCCAAAATAAAATTCACATTTTTTTTTCAACTCCCAAATAGTAAACCAAAATAGTACTCTCATATAGTACTTTCTAAAAATAGGTCAAATATTTCTGGTCATGTGACAAGCTCTCAACCAATCAAAAGCCAACAAATTTTTGATGCAGGATATAATAATAAATAATATGGACTCTGGAGTCTGGACTGTAGCACCCAATATGTTCAAATATATTTGTTTTCTAAGAAACAAGCATCTGTACTTCACTTTTCAATGATTCATACCACTACGCATGCATGCACAGAAACTCCTCATGTTTTACTGCATTTTCTTTTTCTTTTGAATTGATAATCCAAACAGGAACCATGAATTTCTTGTGTGTGAATTAGCTTGAATGTGAATGTTTGCACTGTACATGTATGTCGAGTGCTAAATATTTGACAAGGAAGTACAGAGTAATCCAGATATAATATAAACAATTAGTATAGCAATGTCCTGTTCAGAAGTACATTACACCTACAGTGTACACAACTACACCATTTACTGGTAGGTTTACGTGCATCATGCATGCACCAGAGATGTACATGTAGAATTGTAGATGACATTGTCTGAACAAGTTAAGAACAATTACACCCCTACATGTATCACCATGATGCATGTGTAGTGTAGAAATATTCATTGTACAGTACATGTGCATGCATCACAGCTAATCCATCATCCAAAATACAACATGTTTGTACATGTAATATTGGAATAGTCTGTACCAGTGAATGTACATATATATGTACATGTACATTGTACATGCACATTGTCACATTTAATTTTAAGAACTAATTACATCAACATTTTTTTCTATCATTTTTTTTATAGCAAATGCGTAGCAAAAAGGGAGACAAAGGCGCCGCTTTTCCGGTGACGGCGACGGATGTTAACTGTATACATGTATATGATGGTTGGACTGTATACATGTACATGTACATGTAAAGACCCCCTGGCTATAAAGACTGCATTTTGAGTCTACCTAGAGTGGTATTTTGACACAAGTTTCACTGGATTTTTGTTGGAATTCCCATTTATTTCAATATCTTTTTATCCTGTTGATATCTTGCTACTCTCCATCCAGGTGTTGAATGGGTACCCGGTAGGATGCGACCATCATTGTTGGTCAAACAGTTTTTGAGCGTCAAGTAACACCTGGCTGGAATTTGTAAAGCGCTTAATAGAGACAATGTATTAAGCACTATACATGTATAAAAACTAAATATTAATATTATTATATCTTCTTGTGTCCAATCACAGTCCGACGTCGAGAGTAGGGAGGAGACTAGCTCAGATTGGAGACCAAATAGATGCACAGTACGAGGGAGAGTTCCGTCAGATGATCCAGATGCTACACATAACCCCCTCAACCGCCTATCAAGCATTCGCCGGTGTAGCAAGAAGGTATATCAACATTCTTTCACCATTTTATTAATTTGTCCATCAGGCCTTAACAAAAAAAGATGTTGTATTGCCCTTTACATGTAGGTGCCAAAACATGGGTCGGTCGGAAATCTTTTTTTTAAACCTTTTTTTTCCCCCTCCCTCTTTGGGCTGATGTTTCTCATTTTTTGAATGCTTTAAATATATATTTTTGTATTCATTAAACATAATTTTTTTAGAATTCAAAGCCGACCGTAGATTTCAAGATTTTTGGGTCGTTCGCAAAGGGCAATACATCTTTTTTGTTTACGCCTTGTGATGTCTGCAGGCCTGAAGTTTAAATTTGAAAGTGATTCAGAAACTCATTTTTATACCATAATTTGTCTTATTTTGTTCGTGCTATTCTGAAATAAATTTAAAGCAGATATTGTTAAGTCTGAAATCTGATGTAAATGTATGACAAATCTCATTGGAATGTTGACATTAAAAACATTTCATTTTGTCATGGCAAACACTAACATGCTCTAAATACTAGTACTTTCTCCATTTCATTCCCCCCCCCCCCTCTTCGTTTGTTCTAGATTATTTATCAAGGGCATCAACTGGGGGCGTATTTCGGCGCTTCTCATGTTCGGTTACCGTATCGCTAGAGACGTGATGACGAGTGTGGGGGATTTCTTTCACAAGATTGTCGGCGATCTGGTGCGTTTCATCATCTCAGAGAGAATCGCAACATGGATAGCACAACAAGGAGGCTGGGTACGTATGCAAGTAATTCATGTTTGTGAGTGCATTAGTGAATATGCACTGCACGCAGGTTAAGTCACAGTAGGATAATGAGCAAGACTTGTCAAGTTCATTGTCCGTCTCATTGTGACTTAACCAAGTGCAGTGCATATCACTAATGCAGGAGTTAAAAACATGTATTACACTGTAGTTTTCTTATAAGATGGGTCTACAATATGAGTATAAAGTTGAGAAATTAACGATTGTTATCACCAAAATGCACTTCCCGTGCATATATGGTAAAAATTAATGCTTGCGTGATCCATTTTCGATGCTTCTCATTCGCTACATTCTTGAACTTATTTTATAGTTTAGATTTTTCTCTTTGGTTTGCCTCAGAGCTGACATTGAAGATTAAAGAGTTGCTGATATTGAACTCCTCAAATCCCTCGTTGAAAATCTGCCCAAAATTTGACAATATTGTGATAATATGTGATAATATTATTTGTAGGTTTCCATTAAAATTAAACGTATACATGTAGTGGATCAATAAGGGAACTAGGTTGACTCCTTACTAGATTGTCACTTGAAACTAGTTAAGTTTATTTATTCAAATCTTTATTTTATCAGAGAAATAAATATCCCAGCTTTAATCCGACAGAGCTTCAGGGTAGTGTCAAAGTCCAACTTGATGAGAATGTCTGAAAGAAGCGATGTCATGAAGAACATAAATTAATTGATGATTTGGTAACAATCCGCAAAAGGTTTTCCTAAAATATCTTCAGAATCTTCTATGTTCTGTGCGATCCCTCGCACTTATTGTTCCATCATTCAAATTACCTAGGCAACAATCTGGCCCCACTAGTTCTAGCATTCGTCTCCCGAAAACTACTCTGCCTAGCAACGTAACATGGTGTATTTTAAAGCCTGTCTGCACTAGTTTGGCCAGGAGGGATTAGACCACCCAGCATGGTCACTGACAGGTCGTTATTTCATCAAATCAGCTCTCAATTAACATAGAAAAAGAGGATTATGGGGGACCAACGGGCACCGCTTACACATTCTCTTCTATATAGAGAGAGCAAGTAGCTACAAGTAGTGCAGTGGGGCTTTAAGCTTAAACCTACATCATTTTCAAACTGACCTCCGACCAAAAAGAAAAATAGAAATGTAATAAAAATAAGGCCTGCTCAACAAACTTGGTAGTTTTGATGATATCGTATATCTAGAGCCAGAAAGGCGTTATTCGTATACTTCCCTTCAAAGCGATCATAATTTCTTTTCATGTTCTTCTCTCGTTGCCCTTTCTACAGATTTCAGCGCTGAACTTCAGAATAGAGAACCCCGGTGTAGGCTTCATTGCAATAGCAGGTCTGTCAGCGCTAGCCATCGTGTGTGCAGTCGTATGGTCAAGATCTAGATAGAATAGGGGTAGCAGCTTATGAGGGGGATGGGTGTAAAACCCCAGTGACACTGCCAAACCAGACGTAAACCAACCTTAAACCAACCTCTCACTAACCAATAATCAACAAAACTGTCTGCTAAGGGATGCCAGTTTTCAGGCAATAGCTTGAATCCCGGCCCTGGCGAGTTATTTCCAGACTATAGTTGAGGCTTTTTTGTGTAAAAAATAGCTCATTCTAGGTGATTTTCAGGCCCTCTGATCAATTCTAACTGGCATCCCTGTCTGCTGTTCGATATGATATTGAGCTACAGTCATTGTTTTGTAAGACTATTACAGGTGATATCGACCTTCGAGCGGTTCGAGTCATTTCAAGAATTTGTCAGCTGTAATTTTTTTAACTTGTGTACATGCTTGAAAGGGCCTACGCTGACAATTTTCTGGAGGCTTGTTGTCGATTGTCCTAGGACTATTTGTGGACAGTTTGCTTGATTGGTTCGTGGCAAATTATATTTGGTCATGTTTTCAGTCATTTTGTTGGTTGATTGGTAGTAGTGGTCAGTGTGACTGGGTGTATACAATGAGGTGCTAACCCTATTTCTGTGAAAAATTGTGTTACATGCAATAAGCCAGTTCAAAGTTGCAGTCTGAGCATGAGCAGATAAAGGTCATAGCCGACCAAATTGTGAAATACATGGAGAAAAAAATACTGGACACGTATATGTCATCATTATTCATTTATGTACAAGCAGTGCACTCCATGATACACAGGTGGAAGTATTCTTTGAAAAAGGGGAAACAAAGGCTATTTATGTAGCACCTCCGTCGCTGTAGGAACTGATTATTTCAAAATGTACAAAGTTGGAACTCTTCATGCTTTGAAATTCTGTGGATATTCAGGGTCATTTGAGACATGTGCTAACCATGAACTGGTCTATTGGCATAATTCTTATCCTAAAAGATGAAATTCAGCCAATGACAGCTCTAGGCCATAGCTGCTTGAAAGAGATAGTTGCGTCACCGGAAGTTGCTTCTGATCGGTCAGGCATTTCATAAAGCCCCAAAATAGCTCCCTCTCATAGAGATTGTACATGGGAGGGAACCATTTAGAGCAACATGATTAAACCACCAACCCATCTTGCATACGTGTAGATGTGAATGTCGCAACTATCCCTCTCAATAAGCTGTGCTCTAGGCAAGTCTAACCCTCCATCATATTGTGTTGTGTAACACCGCGTTTCTCAGAACGACACGCTCGTGGGTAAGCACCTCATTGCACCAATCCCCTCGTAATGTATGTACTTACATGTAGGAATTTTCGTCTTGCATTGACTGTACATTCTCATTGAAATGGATGCAATGCACAGGGTTTGTTCACCTTTACCAATCCGAAGCATTCACACTGACTGGGTTTTCCTGCTTGCAGGTGTATAGCAAGTGCTGGATTTTAGAGGACCCAGGATGACTGAATGTGACATTTTTTCACGTTTTAAAAACGTTCAAAATGGAGAAGCTTTAATGAGCCTGGAAAATGAAAGGAACATGTTACATGTAGTCTACCTCCTCACTACTACCCAGACTTCGTGTTGCTTTTTCTTTTCAAATATTCTCCAAATTCGGTGAGCAGATGCGTGGAATTATCCCTGTTCAAGACTATTTATATACATGTAAACTATAAACTGTAATTGACATCGAAGTGTATATTTCTTACTTGTTGAACCGAGCAAAGTTTGGTTAAGTACTGTGAAAAAAATTAAGAATTTATTATGTCATATGTAGCAGTTATATGTGAGGATATGGTCTTAATCTTGTAATATCAGACAGGATGATATTTTATATTTTCTCAATTTTACTATCTTTGTATGTCCTGGTCGTCATACAAATAATTTTATAAAATAGGGTGTTTGTAATGGAGAGCATCCCATTGGCTGAGAAGCTATCACATGACACTCAACATGATGTTATATGCTTGTGGAGTACAACACCTTTTTTTTTGCCCGGTATAATGTGCACAAAAATGATTTAGACTGCGCAACCCTCTTCCCTGCACGGATCCATTGTTTCCATTGTCTTAGCTGCACGGATCTGACGCGAAGTCCGAATGTAATCGAGAGCGCCCGACTCCAAAACAGCAAGGTATGGAATCACAAATACATGTACCCTTGATTTTATATAACATATTGCATCCATTTTAGCTCCAAATTCAGAATTTCCCTCGTGCCGTTATGATTCAACCTCATTCTGCAGCCTCTTTGAAATATAACATCACTCAGGAAATTCTGATTTCGTTCTATTGAACATCGGAGCATGCAATATATATGTATAATATCAGTCTGGATAAAAAAGGCTGCCAAACTTCACACAATAATTGAACCAAAATTGTACGGGTTTAAAGCCCCACTGCGCTATTTAAAGCTACATGTACTTGCGCCCTCTATATAGCAAACAATGCCTAATAGGTGCCTATTGGTCCCCCATGATCCTCTTTTTCTTATGTTAATTAAGAGCTGATTTGATAAGATAACCACCTTCAGTGACCTTGCAGGGAGGTCCAATCCCCCTGGCCAAACTAGTACAGACAGGCTTTAAGTTTGTTTTGCAGTTGCCCAAATGATGTCCACACATGCTTACTGTGTTTTGATGACTTGAATTAGTTTTTCTTCCAAAAAACATTGGGCATTAGAGAGCGCTTGCAGGGTACTCCCCAAAGAGCTCAATAATTTGTTGCTGGTTTTGCGACTTCAATGTTCTCGCACAGGTTAGCATTGCGCACCCGGCAGATCACGTCTTCACGAAGGTATTAAGTGAGGGGAATATGCGTATTGTTTAATAGGTTGGTCTATATGACCTTAAAAAGACAGAGCCTAATGAGCCTGTTTATTTGATATAATACTGAATGTAAGACATCATTACAGTGTAAATACAAAGTAGAGACTTGGAAGAAGAAAAATCCTTGATATATTCATGTATTCTATTTCCTCCTTTTGTACCGGACAAATATTGCGACTGATTTAAAAAAAAATGAAATATCAATTTTCAGACTCTGTAAATAGTACCGGTACTCGTGAGGATGAATAAAAAAAACCTGCGCTGGTTTGTGTTGGTCAAATTAAAGTGCTCCAAAAATTAAGATGACGGACTTTGTTGAAACCATCGTCTATTCATTGAAGTGGTATGCTATTAATGCTAGATTGGTGACCAATCTCTAAACATGTCGATTCGAAATGCACGGCTGAATGCTTATATGGTCTGCTATGTGAGAGTACAGATAGAAAGTTCGAACTAAGTTTGACCAATCTGATGTTATGAAGGGCAGAATGACCCGTGTGTAGATGTCCAGGTGATTGTTAAATGTTTATTTTTAATGGACTGATATCGTCCTTGTTTTCACGAAGTGACGGTAGTGAGGAAAATCGTAACGCAAAGTCAATGCAATTTTTTTTTACTACCGTCACTTCGTGAAAACAGCGACGATATGTACTGTAGTAAGTTGATATAAGAGTACATGTAGACCTGTTAACTAATGTATTTCAATATATGCAAGTTTCTCTCCCAAACCCTTGATTATCAACTATTAAATTCACTTGCTATGCAAAATAGCATCTCTGGATGGAATTCACTTTGCATACATCAATTGTTGCTATGTCAGGCAAGCCTCAGACAAGCTTTTCAGTTGTTAAGAGAAATGTTTGTTTAAAAATCGATTAAATTATGCTTAAAATTAGTAAACAGGTTTATTGAATGCAATGCACATCTACCGCATTACAACATATCTTTCACCGAGATTTGAATAGCATGTTGGTTTTACGATTGAAGATTTTGAAAAGAAAAGATATGTATCACATAAATTGAGATTGATTCTTCGTGTACTAATACTTTTCAATGTATTTCATGAGGTTATGTCGCCTGGCTTTGAAGCCGAATAGAGCATTTTTATGATGAAACCAAATCTAATGCATACGTCTTTGTGAAGTGCCTTGATACAAATTATTTCATTCATCTGTTTCAAATAATCGTATTTCAGTAGTCAGAATGCGAACTGAATACATTAGTTGTTGCTATGTAGTACAAACTTTATGGCTTTCCCTACCTATTACAACAACTTATATTATTTATATATGTATTTTGCATTCTGACTATTGAAATACAATTATTCATTACAGGTAAATGAAAGAATTATATTGATGCACTTCATATTCACATTTGGTTACATGAGTTTGTTTCGACCTGGAAGTTTCCTGAAAATGAATTGGAGATGCCCTTGATTTCGTCTTTGCTTTTAAAGTCCCCAGCTCTTGTGATATGTAACGCTAAATGCACTCGAGAGAACATTGCATATATGTACATTGTATCATGTTCAAAGTCTTGTCTTCTTGCGAATTAAGCAGTCTTAAGTCCTGACTACTGTAAACGCTGTTATTTTCGCGCTGAGCGACCCCAAAACATATTCGCTGTTCTTAAATTCACGTTGCACCAAATTCAGCCCCTAAAGAACATGCATAAGAAGTCGTGTTTATATTTTCGCAGGTTCTAAAATTCGCGGACACCGACTTAAGTGCGAAATCCGCGAAAATTAATGTACCGCAAATATTTCCGCGTTTACAGTATATGTGTTTCATAAAGAAGAGAGTACTGATAAGCTTGATATTTATATTGATTGCAAATATTTCGTTGAATTGAATGTATTTTGCTGACTTGACAAATGATTTAATGGATGATTTAAATGTAGCACTACATCAAAATGTGTGTGATGGTGGACATATTGCAAGAATTCTTCAATCATTTTCCAATTTCATGCATTATGTGACTAAGTACTACTGAATACTAATACATGTGAATTAAAATTGTACATTTTAAGCTAAAAGTTTACCGCTTCATATCTGCACGAGCCGTTAGTGTACAGCCGTAACAGAATATAACTTCCCAAATATGTTTGGTTTTGTATGGGTTCTGTTAATTTTTTTTTAACATGTAAATTACATTTTGTTATAATGTGAGGTTTGCAAAATATGAACTTGGTTTTCTTTATCAGTTGTTATGCGAGCTGTTTTATTTTTGTTTTCTCCAAGTTGCCCTGTTTGTATTATGAATGTACAGTGTTGGCTCCCTTTTGGGTATTTTGTGGAGATTTAACCTTAACCCTATAATGGCTGGGTTATTATGGTGCTCTCACAGTTAAAGGAGGGGGAGGGGGGGGGGGGGGGGGTGGAGAGGTGGCTTCCACCCCCTCCCCATCTCGGCCAAAGAGTGATGAAACATTTTGATACTTGGCTTGTCAAAATTAAGGCCATGGCGTTTCATTATTCATTATTTCATATCTATACCTCAAATAGTTTTCAAATTATTGGTAATAGTCACTATTCACATACTCGCTAATTGACATTTCTGGATTGTGTACAATACAAATGTTCATTTCGGCGGCGATTTTTTACGCTGCGGGTACATTTATTATCAAATGGGGTTGTGGATTCTGCCCCAGCCCTTATAGGGTTAATTGGATCAGAAACTCTACAAAAGTAAAACTACCTTTAGGTCTCCTTCAGATATGACGAGGTAAACTACTTCAAAAAAGAGCCCCACTAATGAGTAGCGAAAGAATTCTCCATTTAACGTGAATATCTAGAAGCCCTATTTGGATTATTGGAAAAGAACAAATACTGCAGCCTTGGCCCCCTTGCAGAGTTGCAAACTCATTGATCTGTGTGATATAAGGTACAGAACGTTGATCCATGCTTCCCTTATCATACTGAATTTTGCAACATATCAAGCTTTTTTTAATATTTATTAATTTGTTTTTCATTGGTCAACCACATATCTGCATAGGCAATCGAAGCAACACAACTTTAAATTATTCCACTCAAAAGAGACACAGACACACAGAGAGATGATCGTTTATTGACAACTTTCATGTATACATTAACAAACAATGCAGACATAACTCCACGAGGTTCCCCTTGGCATGTACACTATCCCTTTCAAGTTAAATCAACATTTGGAGCGCATTTTTGATGTCATGCAGGATACAAATATAATATTACTTCATATTTCATTTGTTTTTCAGGATGAGAATATTCATTTACTTGTATGTATAATTATTGAGATGACGGCTGTCAAATCAAATCATGTTAACGTGTTCATAGAGAGTGTGTGGGAAGGAGGATTAAAAGAATTATCGAGATACCTGAAGAATTTGTGTATGCGTTATTTGTTTGTGAAACCGACTCTCTGTAAGAATCGCTATTCACCTGGGTAGCTTTTCACGAAACTGTCACAAGTACAAGTTTGCAGAAAACCTGTTAAATCACGTGTTTTACAGGTTGACTAAGTCACAAATGCATGTTGACTTCTGTTGATCTGTAATAAGGTATAGGCCTACATCACATATATTTTGAATTTTTTATGTACATTTTGTCAATTTTTGTATATCATTGTCATTTGTTCATCTAGCTGGTCTGAATATCTTAATGACACTCCGAATATACACACCACACCAGCTCGTAACCTAGCTGTGCTTAACAACTGTCAAATATAAACTAATAATTCCCAAATCCAGACCCTCATCCTCCAAAAAACGTTTGACGGTTGCTGCTTCGAAAAATAAATGCTTTGCCGCTTTCAAATGATCCCTTAAAATATACGTCTTCACTCCGTAATTTAACGTTTATGAATCTATGTATTTCATGTTCCTCGATCTTTACATTCTGTAATTTTGTAATCGCTACATGGTACCTTTTGTTTTAGCTCTCCTATTATTATCCCGACACGTGACGTTTCCAGACCTTGGATTCGGGAGGGGCAAAACATCCTGCCGCAGCTTTAATACATTAACGCATATAGTTCAGGATCGGACGGGGTGCCTCTCAAACAAATTCTAAATATTACTCTTTTACTACCGACCAGTATTTTTTAATAACCCTGAATCATTTTATTATTATATTTGTTATATCATTATGTTCGGGCAAAGTGTAAAGTTAGGTAAATTCAACGACGATGTTTATGGCTAGATATGAGGGACTTATCATTGCTCCAATATTTTTCTTCACACTAATACCTACATGAAATACCATAATTAAGAATAACATCATTACGTGGCATAGTTTGACAATACCTAGATGACACGTAGTTTATCAAGGTATCATTAATTTTGAATATCGAACCATAAAGACTCGTAATTATATCATTAATCACGAGTACAAACAAAACTAACAATCACTCAAAAAAAGTATTGAAATTGAGATTAAGCATTAATTATCCATTTAGAAATTCGTTTTTCACTGGTAAAGTTTACAGATCAGTGTACAAAAAGAAATAATCATAATCACGCATATGTATTTGAAAGCAAACCTACATTTCGCTAGCGAATATTAAGCATATCTATGATAAAGACAACTGTTCAAGCGTGATTCAAAATCCCTCCCCCCCCCTTCCCCCCTCCCCCCACTCAGTGTAATTTAGGGTTCGCGTATGCATGTTCCCTCCTCGAAAACACCCCCTAAGTCCGATGTGTAAAGTCAATACGGACCGATTTTGTGTGTGTTACGAGCCAGACTTTGCTGCATGAAAAAGTACCCCTTTACCGGACATCATTGGGGACATGAATGCGGTCCCTCTGTTGCCGGAGTGGGGGGGGGGGGGGGGGGGGGGGTGTTCGAAATACTTCTCATTAAGATGTTTAAATGTACATGGAGGAACATACATGGAGAAAGCTATATATTATACCCCACCAACATTTGATCCAAAATCTTATGGCTGCTATTTCTCATCAATTTGGTTCAGGAGGGGGGGGGGGGGGGGGGGGGGGGGTGAGAGACCTGTCCATGCCTATGTCCAATGGGTTTGATCATGATGTTCTGGTCTAGAGTAGAGAATAAAACCATATGCGCGATGGTAGGGGGGGGGGGGGGAGGCTAAAGTATTTATGATCAGGTAGAGCGGTTTAAGCATTCCAGGGGCGGCGGAGCGTCATTCAAAGTGGGGGGGGGGGGGGGGCACCAACAAAAGGGGGCACTTTCTGGGAAAAGAGGGGACCTGGGTGTGATGATATTAATATTTTATTTGCGAGCGAGCGGGCCCTGGCTTATACCATGTGATTGGATCGTGGCGCTCTGGTCCTGAATAGAGAATAACCCATGATATCAAAGATTTCAACGACTGTTAGAATGCTTGCTCCCATCCACATACCTAAAGAGCCTCCGATGTCACCTATGGTACCAAAGAAAGGAGAACAAGAAAAGAAAAAATGGAAAACAAAACACTATTTATATCATTATGCACCGTTATATGTTACGGAAGAGAGGCGGATAACAGATGGAAAAGATGCTATGCACTAGTTTAGTTTTGTTAAGGATACCACACGAGATGTAAATAGAAGGAAATGGAAATGGATAGGCTTCACTGTTATAACTTGGGTAAAGGGAAAAGATCGTTATGCACTAGTTTAGTTTTGTTTAGGATACTAAAAAGATGCAAATAAGAGGAAATGGATAGGTTACACTGTTATAACTTCGGTAAAGGGAAAATATCGTTATGCACTAGTTTAGTTTTGTTTAGGATACCAAAAAAGAGATGTAAATAGAAGGAAATGAAAATGTTTAGGCTACACTGTTATAACATAGGTTCTATGCAACATTATAATTAAAAAAGACTGAGAAAAAAACTCGCACGGAATAGATCATTTTGCGCTATTAAAGGTTACTGATGTAAAGGAGATGAAAACAAAAAGGATAAAATTAGAAATTGAAAATATGATTGCTAAAGTCGACGACAGGAGATAACAAAATTTAAGAAAAGTGGAATGGAAAAGATCGTTATGCACTGTAGGGTAACAAAAAATGATGACAACTAGAAGAAATAGGAAATGAAATTCCATAGAAGAAATGGAAAGGAAAAGAGCAATGGGAATTGGAGAGAAAAGGTCATTATACACTATTAAGTGACGTAGAAGAGATTAAAAAGAAAAATCAACGATAATTGCAATATCATTATGTACTTTTACAGTTTACGTTAAAGAGATTAAAAAGAAAAGAAAACAGGAAGACAGTGTACAAAATCATTTCACAATGTTATATATGTCATTATGTAGAAGAGATGAAAATAAAAAGAGAAAAATGGTTGTTGAAAAGTTGGTCGGTGTGAACTTCCGTCTAGAGGCAGACCTGTATGAAATACACATAGAATAATTATATAAACCCTACGTTGGGTATGCCGTGTTTATTCAGCAGGCTCGTTTATACTCACTTTGAAATATTACAAGCGATAATTATGGACCCTACCACAGATAATTGACCTTTGAAAAGCCCTTTTTCTGTATGCCGCCAGCTACGGTGAAATGATACTCATTCTCACGACATTGCTAATAATTATGATAACAATAAGGGAGTTTACAGATACAATCTGCGCATGGGCAGATAAAGGTCATTTGTACCAAAATGGTAAAACCCACAGAGATGAATACTGGATATGCGCTCATGAAAGTTATGTAACATTATTCATTTATGCACCAACGGTACATTCTATGATTCGCAGTATCCTGGAAGTATTCTTTTCAAGAGGTCAAACAAAAGGTATTCATGAAGCACATCTAGTAGGACTTTGGCAGTTATTATTCTAAGATTCTCAAAGTGGAACTTCTCCATGTGTAAAAGATCTGTGGATATTTGAGGTCATTTGTACCGTGTGCTATCTGTAAACTCCCTTATTGTGTTATGATATGAAGAAGTAAGAGGTCTTAAGACTTACTGAGTAGACTGACGAACAGATATGCCTCTTGTTGTGTCGTCGTTTGACGGATAAGCTCGTTGAAAAATATATTGATGAGACACAAGTTGTTGCTGCCATAGAGAGATAGAATTTATCAAATGGTTAAAACGAGGATGGACGACGGTGGAACGAGTATATAATTATATAAAGATATATACACTGTATGAGGAATGAAGAGAGCGAGAGATAAATTGAGAGAGAGGAGAGAAAGGAGAAAGAGGGGAGAGAAAGTGGGTGGGAAAGAGGGAGAGAGAGAGACCATAAGCGGGGAAAAGGAAAAATAAGAATTCGATTTATATTGTAGCGAAAGTTTGATGCATCATTGGATATTTATAGACATGTATCAATCGGATAGGATTAATAATGTCAGGGGACCTTTCACGTTGCCATCCGCCAGACACGACTTAGTTTCAGTCCACAATTTTTTTTCAACCCCCCCTACCCCCCCCCCCCTACCCCTCCCCCCGTTGAGCCAAAAATAATTGCAAACGATCTCCCTCGAAGCAGTTCCCCAAAGTTGACAGCCATGATTTACACTGTTTTAAATGTTGCGAGCGAGCAAAGCGAGCTAGGAAAACAGACACTTAATTGTCTTTAAAATACAATTTTTTCATGAAAATACATACATGTTGGCCTTTTTTTTCTCACGAACTTCACATTTATTTCATAATGGATAGAAATAGATATTTCATAAATTTTTCTCACGGCAACCCTAAAGATGTCCTGCAGTACCCCGGTTGCAAAACGCTGGTCTAATTAGGCAAGAGTGAAGTCCATTTACCTGAAGTAGTCTGCGTCCACATTTAGATTGGGATTCGCTGAGAGCTGAGCTGCTAGGACTTGGCTGTAGAAATCTGAAGGAAATTTGGCTTGCGAGATAGTGGCGGCATACCTTACTGTGTGACATGGTACGGGACATAGACACGTTTGGCTCGAGTTTCTGCCGTAGACATCTAGCACAAGTAAAATCAAATAAAATCACATCAAAACAAATCTATTAGAAATAAATCAAATCAGATTATATTAAAACAAATCAATTAGAATTGAATCAAATCAAATAAAATCAGAACCAATCACTTATAATTAAATCGAATCAGATCATATAAAAACAAATCAATTAGAATTAAGTCAAATTAGATTATATTATAAGAAATCAGTTAGAACTAAATCAAATGAGATCATATTAAAACAAATCAATTAGAATTTAATCAAATCGGCTCATTTCAAAACAAATCAATTCGAAAAAGATAAAATCATATCATATCAAAATAAATCAATAAGAATTAAATCAAATCAGATCATATCAGATTTGTTTTGATATGATCAGATTTGATTTAATTCTAATTGACAAATATAATTAAATCAAATCAGATCATATCAAAAGAAATCATTTAGAATTAAATCAAATCAAATAAAATCAGAACCAATCACTTAGAATTAAATCGAATCAGATCATATCAAAACAAATAAACTAGAATGAAATCGAATCAGATCATATCAAAACAAATCAATTCGAATTAAATCAAATCAGATTATATTAAAACGAATCAATTAGAATTAGATCAAATCAAATCATATCAAAACAAATTAATTAGAATTAAGTCAAATCAGATTATATTATAAGGAATCAATTAGAATTAAATCAAATCTGATAATATCAAAACAAATCAATTAGAAATAAGTCAAATCAGATCATATCAAAACAAATCAATTCGAAAAAGATAAAATCAGATCATATCAAAATAAATCAATAAGAATTAAATCAAATCAGATCATATCAGATTTGTTTTGATATGATCAGATTTGATTTAATTCTAATTGACAAATATAATTAAATCAAATCAGATCATATCAAAACAAATCAATTAGAATTAAGTCAAATCAGATTATATTATAAGAAATCAGTTAGAACTAAATCAAATGAGATCATATTAAAACAAATCAATTAGAATTTCATCAAATCGGCTCATTTCAAAACAAATCAATTCGAAAAAGATAAAATCAGATCATATCAAAAGAAATCAATATAAGAATTAAATCAAATCAGATCATATCAGATTTGTTTTGATATGATCAGATTTGATTTAATTCTAATTGACAAGTATAATTAAATCAAATCAGATCATATCAAAAGAAATCATTTAGAATTAAATCAAATCAAATAAAATCAGAACCAATCACTTAGAATTAAATCGAATCAGATCATATCAAAACAAATCAATTCGAATTAGATCAAATGAGATCATATCAAAACAAATCAATTCGAATTAGATCAAATCAGATCATATCAAAACAAATCAATTCGAATTAAATCGAATCAGATCATATCAAAACAAATCAATTCGAATTAAATCAAATCAGATTATATTGAAACGAATCAATTAGAATTAGATTAAATCAAATCATATCAAAACAAATTAATTAGAATTAAATCAAATCAGATTATATCAAAACAAATCAATTCGAATTAGATCAAATCAAATCATATCAAAACAAATCAATTCGAATTAAATCAAATCAGATCATATCAAAACAAATCAATTCGAATTAAATCAAATCAGACCATATCAAAACAAATCAATTCGAATTAAATCAAATCAGATCATATCAAAACAAATCAATTCGAATTAAATCAAATCAGATCATATCAAAACAAATCAATTAGAACTAAATCCAATCAGACCATATAAAAACCAATTAACTAGAATGAAATCAAATCCGATCATATCAACACAAATCAATGAGAATTAAATCAAATTTGTTTGTTTGATTTTATTTCTGCGTTTTTCAACAGAATAGAAAGTAATACACGAACTAAGTACATATAGATTATTAACAATAATAAAATAAATACAGAATCATACTCTGTATCATGATATAAATCAAATGAATAGTTATAACTATCCAAAAACATAGTAGACAAATCATTTCAAAATTGAAAAACGCAGGGGACCACCATCTTTAATCATATAAAATCAAGGCAAGGCGGGCTTTTACCCTGTGTAATAGGGTATGAGTAAACACTCTTCCGGCTTCCAAACAGACAATATATTTTACAAAATTCGAAGGTTCAGTATATATACGGGGCGGTTTAAATTAATATGCCTACATATCACATACATACCCATAGCATCTCGAACACATATGATTTCCGGTGGGCTGCACTCTCTACCAGGTCCTGTAGACATACAAAAATAATGAAATATAACTATGCATGTAAGGGGCACACGCCCCTCGAATTCACCCCCCCCCCCCCTAAAAGGTGGGAAAAAGAAGAGGGGGTGGAGTATGTGTGGCAGGAGTGATAAAGAAAGAGAAAGAGAGATAGATAGAGAGAGAGAGACACACACACACACACACACACACACACACATTCAGGTAGGCTTCGATCATTCTCATACAAGAAGTCTAAATTTTGAGTATGCAATGATGTAACTAGGAGGGGCCGCAAGGGACACGTCCCTCGTCCCCAGAATGAGCTAGATTGTAATTCCGAAAGGGGCACTGTTCATTTTTTTATATAATTTGGGTTAATGTGCCATGTGCCCCCACCCGACACTGGCGTTCTAATGTGGTTTATTTCTAATACGATACCAGTGATTAACAATGTTGCTGAAATGACATGACTTTCTGAGATTTTTCTCTCATGTTTGCCTTTCCCCGGTGGGGGGGGGGGGGGCACTGTGCCATCCACCTTTTCAGGTACCCACACAAAGCCCCTTTTTACATAGGACAAGTGCCCCTTTTCTTTTCTAATAAATATCTTTTTCTTTCTTTTCATCTCTGGTGAGTACGTCTTTTTAGGTGCGAAAAATTCCCCTTTTCAACTCTGATATTTTTGCCCTTGTTTTATACTTTGACTCGTGCCTCTTTTCTTTTCTAATAAGTACAATATTTCCTTCGGATAAGTGCCCCTTTCTGTTTTATATGAGCCCTTCCCCTTTTCAAAATGCCCCTTTTAACATCTGATAAATGCTTTTATAAACATCTGATAGGTGCCCTTCTCCTCCAACAGATTCCCCATTTCCATTCTCACAAGTTCTTCATTTCATTTCTGTTTAGTGTCCCTTTTCAGGAGCAAGAAGTGCCATTTTAACCTCTGAAGGCTCTGATAATTGCCCTTTTTAATTTGACACGAGCACCTTTTCTTTTCTAATAACTGTCCTTTTCCCTTTTGATAAGTGCCTACTTTTTTCTTTCTCTATAACATGCACCCCTAATTCAAGGCGACTTAGAGCCCCTTTTTCTTTAATTTTCCCTAATTTAGATCTAATTTACATCTAAATTAAAATAGGGTTCCAAAACGGTAAGCTCCCTGGGAGATTTTATCAGTATTTGAAATTGGCACTTATCAGAAGGGAAAAGGTACTTGTTAAAAGGGAAAATGGCACCTTTCAAAGTAAAAGGGGCATTCTCTTAGATTAGAAACGGGGTACTAATCAGAGGTAAAAGGATCACTTACGATAAGGGGGAGGGGCACTTAATATTAGAAGGAAAGAAGGTCACTTATCTGAAGTAAAATGGGGCACGTTTGGGGTACTTAAAAAAGTGGCGGGGACTCGGGGGCTCATTGAACTGGATTGATTCGGGAAATCCTTACCAGGCATATAGGGAGCTCGGCATCCACACATTCCGATCACGTAGTCGGTTTTACACTCGAGACGACACGAACTAACTCGGTAAACATCGTGATACTTCAAGGTCTTCTCACCACAGTCACCATAAGGAGGGGCTAAATTCCGGGTCTGTAGATGATAGAATGATAAAGTCAGTTATTGAAGCCCTTTTCGTAATTCTTATCAATCACCGTCACCACCACCATCATCACCATCATCTTCACCATCATCATAATTTTGTATTAATAATCATCATCATCATCAACATCATCATTATTAACTTCATCATGTTCCACACTATTATTGTCACCAGTAACATGATCAATGAAGCTTATCATCATCATTACCACCAATGCCATCATCTTCCTCATCATCATCATGATCATCATCATCATCAACGTCATCATCTTTTCCATCACCATCACTACCTTCATCAATATTATCATCGTCCATCAGTACTAATACAAGTTATTTCACCATCAACGTCATCAACTTCATCCTCATCATCATCACCACCACCACCCCACCACTACCTCCACCCCACCACCATAACACCCAACCACCTTCACCACCACCACCAACAACCACCACTTCCACTATTATCACCATCAACACTTCCTCCACCAGAACCATCATCACCACCCCCCAAAAAAACCAACAACACAACAACCACCACAGTCCACCACCATCATCACCTCCATCACTATCATCACCATCAACACCTCCTCCACCACAACCATCATCATCATTACCACCACCACCACCACCACCACCACCACCACCACCACCACCACCACCACCACCACCGCCACCACCACCACCACCTCCGGCCATCACCACCATCATTACCACCTCCATTAACACCTTCATCACTACCACCATGGCAGCAGCAGCACATCACCAATAGCAACGCCACCATCTCCACCACCATCACCACGACCATCATCAACGACACCACCCTCATCATCATCAATCAGCTCTTACAATAAGCTACCTCAAAAAGTGTAAGACCAATGAGAGTCCTCGTTCCCGGTCCTACAGCAATCCCGTATTCATTGACCTGTGCACTGCTCGTGTTACTGTCATATGCCTGGATCTGAAAACCAGCTGAACCTGCCGAGCCTACCGATGATGTCGCATAGAAGTAGTCCCACTGTCTGGTGTCTAGAACCACTTGCAATCCGTGAGATATTCCTATTACAAATTAAAAACACGAGCATTCTAAAAATAGTCGGTCAAAAACTTTGTCCCCAATTAATAGGGATAAGGAGAATTATGATCTCCCAATAAGTTTGATAAATTTGATAAGTTTGTATACATAATGCAGAGTAATATAATAATAATAAATATATATAGAGCTTAATACAATGTCTCTAAGCCCGTTATAGGTATGCTATTACCCTGGACGGTCTTTGGATTCAGTGCTTGCCCGCACACAGTGTGTGCACAATCTCCACTCACTGAGGAGCATTCCAGCCAGGCGTTACTCGAGTAATCATTATGATATGAGTAATATGTGTGTCATCTCTATCAGCAAATTACAATGCAGAATAAATCCACATTAGGATTATCATTACTTTACAATGTATACTTACCTGGTGCGTGAACTTTCAAACGATTGGCAGCGCCCAAGTTGAAAGTAAAACAAGCACCGAATTCTAAAAGGGAAATTGAAAAATTCTCCCTAGTAATGACTTCATTGTTGAATGTAGCTCTGAAATAAAAAGGCAGTTGATGTAATTATATTATTAAGGGGACATTACTGGATCAGAGTCCTGTTTCATAAATCTTGACATCAATAACAAGTCACAAGCTACTGTTATAAGCTACTGAAATCATGGCATCTGACTGGCTGAGAGCAAACTTGATATCAATAACAAGTTACAAGCTACTGTTATAAGCTACTGAAATCATGGCATCTGATTGGCTGAGAGCAAACTTGATATCAATAACAAGTAACAAGCTACTGTTATAAGCTACTAAATCGGGGCATCTGATTGGCTGAGAGCAATTTTTCATACAAATTTAGCAGTTGTTACAGGTTGTTATGAAACGGGCCCCAGAATACAGTACAACAATATATTTTCATACTCTTACCGAGTTTAAAAAAAAAACGGTTGAGAGTTCTCCACGTGACCACAAATATTTCAACCATTTTAAAGGTTATTCTGAAAATGAACTATTTATTAGCTCAATCTGGGAGTTGAGATTTTTTAGTTGATAGCTTTTTTTGTAATTTGTGTTTAATTTCATTAAAATTTAGAATTTAAATAATATTTTTAAAATTTCGTAATATCTTTTTACACATTTAAATAAAAATATGAATTTTTGATGCAGGATAAATATATATAAAACAAATAAATCATACCCTGCCTTCTTTTCGAGGCACTGGTTAAAACTATGGGCCTCGGGGACTCCGATAGTACTTCTTGAAGTCACCTCATGCCCATAATTTTAACCAGAACCTGTCATGACAGTGTATGTTTGTATACTACACCAGTTTGTTATTATGGCAGTTATTATGACCAAGGAGTTCCGACCTATCATGGATCCTCCCATATTGAGGTGACACTAGTCGATTAGAACATGAAGGGGCGGAGAGGAGCTGGGAGGGGGTCATACCTTGTTCCTCTTCCATCCTTCCACTAAGTTTCATCCCATCTTCTTCGCCCCCTCCCCCTCAGGCTTCATTCGTCAAACTAGGGTTAGGGTTAACATGTGGGTAGGGTTAGGTCCAGTGTTAGATCAAGACTTGAATAAATGAATAAATGAATAATCAAGTCGATATAGGTAATTGCCCGCGTGGCATCTGGAGGATCGAACCCTCGAGTCTGTAATATCCCGTTAGTTTAGATCATGTGAACACCACCATTATACTTAACAATAAGATACTGTCGAGTTGATGAGCCGCGTTCAGTCTCAAGAGTGTGTAATTCTTCGTGGTAAGGTTGCCTTCATACGACGTGTAATCATATGGTTGATGTGTTGCGTACAGATCTGCTACATATTTCAGGAAGTCAGCAAACTCCTTCTCGTTTTCCTCCAGATACGATTTGCTGAAAAAGAAACAAAATATTATCCATTCGGGGTTGGGATAATTTTCTTACAAGAAAGAAAAAAACAACAATAAAGAGTAAAGAATGAGTTTAGGATATTTTTACTTATTCATTTATTCATCCATTAATATGTATGTATTTATCTAATATTTTATTGTTAATATTTTATTTTTTATTTGTTCATATAAAAACCTATTTATTTGTTTATTTAGACCGGTTTATTGAGCGTGGTGATAACAAATTACTTGCGGCCAGAGGTCGAATTGCATATTCTTTTACAATCATGATATAGAATGGATGCATTGTAAAAGGATACAAGCAGATACGGTCATTTTGAAATCACAATTATAGTATGGCAACATGTTGCTAAAAATCCCAGCAATTCTTAGATTTGTCAATACGACAAGAAGAACAATATTTAAAATATGAATTAAATTCACCCTACTAAAAACAGACTGAGAGAAAGATAAGAGTAGAGAGGGGAAATAGGGAGGAACAGAGAGAAAGGAAGAGAAAGAGAAAGAGAGAGAAAGAGCGAGAGAGAGAGACAGAGAGATAGGGTGAGATAGAGAGAGAGAGAGAGAGAGAGAGAGAGGGGGAGTGTGTGTGTGTGTGTGTGGGTGTTTGAGGGAGAGAGAGAGAGATGCTAGTAACTTAGTAATTTACGGATGAATGAATAATAGGCACTTTGATTTTATTAAGATCAAAGTAGTATTGGTTATAGTTATTTCTTTAATTATTTGTATATGATATATGGATGTTCTGTATATGATTAAATTTGTTTTGAAAATAAAGAACCCTGTGGAAGGGGGAAAAAAAATTAAAAAAAAGAAAAAAGTATTGGTTATAGTTACACAAATAACACCACGGAAGCCGACCTTCATGGTAGTTATGGAGACGTTGTGGCACACAGTCTGTCTCGCACATTAATTAAAATTATAATTACCGAATACCCCAGCGGATATATGAATGATTCTTTTTGTCCATGGTCGTATCCAACTCCATGGCAATATTTGTCATCATAGCTAGTTTATCCGTTTTTATCACGGTTGTTATAATATATTGATTCCGATATACAATAAACATGACAAATATAATTTTCAGCGAGCAGCCCATTTTTTAAAAATATTTTGTTAAAGTAGCAAAAGGTGGACTGTAATCAAAATAACGTTAATGAATGACAGTAGCCTTTTCATTTAATATCCTCAAACCCCTAAACAAGATTTTCAGGCCATAAAACGTTATTTTTCTTTCGAAGCTCGAGTTTGTGTTTAACATGATACAAATGCATTACCACAACCTTCCCACTGTGTTACGAATATCATCATAAACATTGTTTATCTCTCTATTTTGTATGGTTACTTATTTTGCATGAGCATGAGCAACCGGTGAGAATAAAACACCGTCATTTATGAATAAAGGTGGATTGGCTTTTGTAATTTTCTCCGTTTATACTTATTATGTCCGGTTATCACTACTTCAAACCCCGTAAAATGATGGGGAGGGGTTGACAAAATAAGCCAAACAGTAGGCTACCTTTTATTTTAAAAAGGCCGGGGAGTTGACCACTTTTTCAAAAAGGTAAATTAAAAATTTGAACATGACTGGATCCAATTATACAGGTTGAATCAAGCATGGTACAACAAAAAAGAAGGTTAATCTCACATTGTGAACAAGTCATTTATTCAAGGCACTCCATGGACCTCTTACCTATTTTGTATAGCATGAGTTATAATTTATTTAGAAAATTGCTATTAGGCTTTATAATATCTAAATTTTCGGATGTATTATGGTACATTATATTATTTACTTCATGCATTATACGTCATGTTATTACAAGAAGAAAAAAGAGTGTTTGTGCTGTATATGATTTTCATTTTGTTTTGCTATATACACTACATTGTAAATTGATTTATATGATATATTTATTAACAAACAGAAGTTGGTTTGTTGCATCACATTATAAATTGATCAAAATGATATATATGTTTATAAACAGAATCTTAATTTGTTACATTGCATTATAAATTGATTTGTATGTTTATAAACAGAATATTAATGAACATCAATGAATTTTAATGAATACAATACAATACAATACAATAAAAGTGGTCACTCCTCGGCCCTTTTATGGTGATTTAACAGTTTAATTTTAAAAGTGATTTGAGAGGAAGATATACCTGTATACATTGTAGTTGCAAATAGCAACAGAGGGAAAGTCGAGGTTTTCGGCAAATTCGATGTCTACTCGAGTGTTGATCGGTAATGTGGAGTAGAAGATGCATTGATAGATGATTTGGTACAGCATGATAGATGTAGCAGCAACAAGAATCAAACACCAGATTATCCTGTAACAAAGTAAAAAAAAAAATAGATTTCGAAAGAAAGGAGGAGCACGATTTTACGAAAAGTCACAGCTTTTATGGTAATTTACGTATATATTACCATTATCACAACCTATTATGACAATTACATTCATCTTCATCATCTTCACCATCCCCATTGTCATAATCATCATCATCATTAGTTGTCATATCCTGCATCAAAAATGTATTGGCCTTTGATTGGTTGAGAGGTCGTCGTATGACCAGAACTATTTAAATGTTACTTTGAAAAAGAACTATTTGGGAATACTATTTTTGAGTAAAAAAAAAATTGGTGAGGGGGATTATTTTTGAATTTGTTTTCTTCAAATCTTAATTTTCTATTTGTTTTAATTTTCAATTCCTTTATAATAAACACTGTAATTTTTAAATTCTAAATTTTTTAAATTTCAATAAAAAAATTCAAAAAATTGTTAATTTGTTAATTTTTTTTTAAATGAAATTTTTGATGCAGGATAAAAATAAAATAAAATACCATGCCTTCTTTTCGAGGTACTGGTTAAAAATATATGCCTCGGTGACTCAAAAAGTAACATTGGAGAACTATTGGAGTCACCTCTTGCGCATAGTTTTAACCAGAGCCTCTCAAGACAGTGTATATATTTGTATATTAATATTATTATTATTATTATTGTTAATGTTATTATTATCGCTATAAGTAGTAGTAGTATATAGTAGTAATAGTAAAAGTAGTAGAAGTAGAAGTAGTACTAGTAGTAGTAGTAGTAGTAGTAGTAGTAGTAGTAGTAGTATCATTACCATCATTCTATTGCCCATAATATATATCATCTCGGAGATTGAGTTAGTTACAATGTGATTTATAAAGATTTTATATGAACATTTTAAACATAGTTGAGGCGTGGTATCATTATATTGACACGATTAAAGAGACTTTCAAAAAAGCATCTTTACGCTCGATTTCAATTTCCCACTATATTTCCCAAATTGAAATCATATTTGTCATGTATTTTACTTTTTTAGTTTTGTTTGTATAATTATGTAAATCTCTTAACTATTGTTCGGGAAACTATGCCTTTTTAGTTCCCTATTTTCATCTTCTTATATATTGCAAATGCTTATCATTGTATATACCTTTGCATTGTTTTTTTTAAATTGAAAATGGAAATGAATAAAAATGAATTGAATTAAATTGAATTGAATGCTGCGCGCGCGTGCGTGTGTGTGTAATTGGGTTTTTACAGACGTGTATCAATCAGATATGATTATTTACGTCTGGGGACCGACCCTTTAACGTCACCATCCGAAAGACGTAATAATGGTAGCTTCTTATAGCATACGTCACATCACGTCATGTCGCGTCGTGACACCCCCACGCGTTCGAACATCATCACCCCGGTCATAGCTGGCGGCCAACGGCCTGGCATATCGGCTAACTGTCATTTACACTTGAGTAGAGAGTTGCAAATGCGGATTAATGTCTTCCCAAAGGATGTTAGTACCGGTCTGAGATTCGAACCCTCAACCCTGGAATTGAGTGTCCAGGGAACAAACCACTACGTTTCTGTCATTTTCGCACACTTAAACATGTGACAAGACTACAATATTCTTCGATCGTTGTAATTTAGTGAACAGTCCAGTTCAATTCAAGCGCTAGAGGCATGATTTTGATTATTTATGTCATAGCCTTTCGATTGTGATATCGACCCCCCAATTAACACTTAATGACTGTAGACTGTGGACAAACTACATGGGTAATCGGAATCTCGGGGCTCGGGGGAACGATGTCCTTTTCCCATCGATGGGGGGGGGGGGCGACGTGGAAGTATAGAGAGTGGGAGAGGGAGGGCGAGGGTGAGGGAGAGCGGGACGGAGAAAGAAAGAAAGGGAGAATGAATGATATCGGTGTTAATTTGCAATTTGGGCAAACACCACATAATGAAAAAAACAAGAGTTTAGATGATTTTCAAATATACGTCAAATAACTGCAGCGGAAAAAAGTTAATAGAAGCTAAGTGTTACTTACTGGACAATTACCTAAGGGAAGGAAAGAATATATATATATATCAAGAGAAAGAGAGAGAGAGAGAGAGAGAGAGAGAGAAAAAGACATGATCTCACACCCTCTCTTTCCATCGCCTTGTTCTCTTGCATTTTACAACCTACAGACCGGTACCCACTATGACATCAGTACCCCTCTAAATGGTTGGAACCCCGGATACGCCATGCACTGATTATGGGGTGAGGGCAACTGGATAGGAGGTACATGACCCGGTCTTTAACTGCTTGATATATAGCGAGCTTTGAACTTTGAAGTATGAGCACACACAGCTATCAGACGATCAAACATAATTATGAATTGAAGGATATGCCCAAGATAGATTACCACGTGCAGAGCTAACGAAATAATTGTGTTGCGAACTTTCTTGAAGTTTCTATTTGTAGCTTCGAACCACACTTGTACGATTTGAGGGTTATTTCAACATGGCGGGCTTACACGTGAAGCTGTCTGCCCTAGCTGCAACATGGGCCTTATTGAGTGGCGTGTCTCTGTATGCTGCTTTCTGTGTCTCCTCTCCGATATGGATGCGTGTAATATCAGGTTAGATTCCTCCTGAGCCATTTGATCATAATAATACACTTACTAGTATAGTATTCAATGAAATGTCTTGTAGAGTAATATGAAACTTCCGATCCTTTAGTTTCGAAATAGGGCTAGAGTCGATGAAATGTATAGATTCAAATGAGATCAACATTAAAGGTATTACAAAGTTTTGGGAAATTTTGAAAAATGGGTGGATAGTGATTCTTTACAATTTTGATATATTTGGATGCCTCTGGGGATGAATTAAAAGGACTAGAAATTTTAGCCCCTAAAACACTTCTGCTTTCGAGAAAAATTGAATATAAAGATTTACCGGTGCTCCCGGTAAATTTTGAAAAATTTCAAATAGCTCCTACGGCCGTACAATGGTAGCTGCGACCATGAAAATCTCAGAATATGTAGTTGTGGTATATAATTTCCGAACGGGAATAGCTAATCGGTCGATTTTAGTCAAGAAACATTGTTTTACAGCTTAATGAATATTTGACCTTGAGAGGGAGCTATGCAACATAAAGTGTTTATTATTTACAATTTCATAACTTAAGAGTCGATTTCGACCGCGACAACGATCAGTGAATATTGTAGGATCGCATATGCTTCCAATATGTTCATTTGAACCGAATTCACGACCCCCTACCAAAACTTTGTATTACCTTTAAGGGGCCACTGGTGCGTGCGCGCGTGTGTGTGTGTGTGTGTGTGTGCGTGTGTGTGTGTGTGTGTGTGCTGGGGGGGGGGGTGGCGTTGAGTACTTAATATCTGGATGAAGAACAAGAAAACAAAATAAATGAAAGCAAAAGAGGGGACGGTGATCTTTCCCCCATAGAACTATTCACGTTCTATTTCCGTTCTCTCTCTTTCTACCGCCTCTGCCCCTCCTCTCCGGTAAAGAAAATAATGTTTTATCAGTAAATTTACGCCATTTGATAGAGGCAAGAATCAAACATTCCCGTCACTGTGCGTTAATACACGTGTCCCTCTAAGGGGTGGTCCCCCCCCCCCCCGGGCTGCCAAGTGAAAATGTGATGTGAACTAAAACAATGGCATATTGTATTAGTAGATGCAAGGTAAGCATCACTTACGGGGGTTCAGAATGGCAAGAAAAATGTCCTCGACGCTATGCGGCTCGTGGACGATACTCCACATCGTCATTGGGTCACCCCCCCCTTAGCAAAAAGCTAGATCCGCCCTGCCTCTTATTCTGCAAAATGTGTCACCATTTTAAATGACAAAACTTAAGCACCAGTCACTGAATATGATATCAATCCGTTGAATCCTGCCACCTAAAGGTTGAAACAAAATGAAATGAAAAAACTTTTGTAATTCGCTGCATAAAAACTTCGCATTCTAAAGATGCCTTCAGTAATGCTTACATCATTATTTTGCGAGGTTGCGTAGTGATTCAGACGGAAGCATCTTTACCCCAGTGTAAAGATTGTATTAAGAGCTATTCGGGGTAAATATGGTGAGGTAGGTGTAAAAGTCGGAGTAGTGACCGTCTGAACGGTGGTCGTGTTAGCTACGCCTACCTTACGCCTATTTACTCCTGAATTTATTCAGGAGTAACTCGCTAACACGACTAGCGGGTAGCGTAAGTTGACCGTGTGGATGCTCAGCTCTTATTTACACTCGGGAGTATATGTGACCTTTCACGAGGGTTGATTGTAACAATCGAAAATGAAAATTAGATTTCGCACGGTTTAGCTAGATGCAGAAGGTGGGTTGAGGTCCACCTGTGCGAGCGCCTCCACTTCCGTAAGTTTCGCTGGTCGGACGTGGAAGGGCGTGTGAACTTAATCGTGGCAAGTTGGTCCTGCTGCAGGGATTAACTTACGCCGAATAGTAAAACCCCGTCTGAACATGGCAAATGCTCGATAAAATTCCACGTGTTAATGTTATGAATTTTGCATTTTAGAGCACTTTTGATCACTAGTCTGAGCTTTTCACCCAAATCAACCCTCTTTCAAGCGTCATTTAAAAAAAACTTTCGCGACTCTCCAATATCGAAAGATGACTACTTTGACAATTTTTACAAGAAGAGCTAGGCCTCTCCTTTTTTTTATTTTTTTTTTAAATTTCGTTTATTTCCATTTCCAACAAAATAAATAAAGTACATGTGATTACATTGTACATAGTAAAACAATGAAACTTAACAGTAAATTTGTAATTGGTCCACAGTGTACAACAGGCATATAACACAGGTTGGTCATGGAGGGGACTGCTGAAAAGCTGGGCTTGTAGATTGCAGCCCCCTATAACTTACAGTTGCAAAACTAGTACATCAATAATAAAAGAACGCACAAATACATAAACCAAATAGACATAACATAGAAGGAGTGAAAGGGACAGGGAAAGAAGGGAGACAAGGAACGAGGGAGGGCAGGGCACTATACCTATAACACACACAACACAACACGGACCGACTGGAATAAGGATGGCCAGTACAAAATGAATCAAAATATACAAATGTATTTTATTGAGTTAAATAAATTTAAAGAGGGAGAGCTAACGCTTGATAATTACGCAAAAAAGATTTTTTTTTATTTTGAATTTAAAAGAATTTAAACCGGGGGCATTCTTGATGCTAACATCAAGAATGGTCCATAGCTTCGGGCCTGCGTAAGTGAATATGGATTTAGCAAGTAAAGTTCTAGTTAATGGCAGATGAAATTCGTCAGATTGGCGCGTAGGGTATTTGTGTATAGTTTTATTTTTGATGAACATTAAATTGAAGGCTACCAATCCCTGTATTTCGAAGTAAAAGGGCACTTTGCCTCTCCATAGCTCTGTAATCAAACTATGGAATCTTTGCTAGTGAAATATGTTTGAAACAGTTCAGAGATCTTCTTTGATTGTATTAGTTAAAGTATGTTATACCAGGGGGGGGGGGGGCGATGTTAAAACACTTCAGAGCCGAAATATGAAAAAAAGTGGCTCGTAACGATCACTCCCGGTATCAACGTTCGAGTACCTATCACTGATAAAAGCTATCTTATCTACAGAGTGTAGAGTTGACTTTGGGGTTCTATTTACATTGTAAGCCGGTAAATCACGAATACTCACGCTTTTGTGAGAGAGAACACGGCGTGACACTTTTCATACTTGTTTAACCCTAAAATGATACCACTTAAAAAAAATAATACAAATTAGTGCTTGTTATCGAGACCATGCACGATGTAGACATAGGCCACTTACATTTACAGCAATAAGGCCTTTGAAAAAAGATGTTGTATTGCCCTTTAGGTGCCATAACATAAGTCGGTCGGTCGGAATTTTTTTCTTTCTTTCTTTTTTCTCCCTATTTGGGTTGATATTTCTCAGGCCTCTAAAAACGTTTTTTTTTTTTTAAAGCCGACCGTAGATTTCAAGATTTTTGGGTCGGTCGCAAAGGGCAATACAACATCTTTTTTTTAAACGCCTGACCATACCCATGCATGCTGCACGTACGGTAAAAAAAAAAGAAGAAAATGAAACTGAAAGTGTACGTACTTTTGGTCTAATATCAAGTATTTTCTCACTGAATATTATTTCCATCTAAGTATTTTCTATAATAAATGATTAGAATGAAACTTAATTCGTATGTTATTTTGATAAAGCAAAACGCAAAACAACTTGAAAAGATTAGAAAAGAATTGTTCAAAAGTATATGAAACGCGATTGCGAAAATGTTCAAAAAATCAATTGTTCGAGGGCAATTTCAATATCTCTTTTTAAAGGCCCACTGTACTACTTGTAGCTACTTGCTCCCTCTGTATAGAAAACAATGCCTAATCGGTGAGTATTGGTCCCCCACGGTCCTCTTTTTCTTATGTTAATTGAGAGCTGAGTCGATGAGATAGCCACCTATCAGTGACCTTCCTGGGTGGTCTAATCCCTCTTAGCCCAACTTTTACAGATGGGCTTTAATGCTTATAGACAACATGTTCGGATTATAACTATTGTTGTTGTTATTATTTAAGGGGGGAGGTGGTCATTTAGAATAGTACAGTTACAGTTATAATATACACTGTTGGTCATAATGGTGGAATATTTATTTTTAACCCCAGTTTAGGGAAGGATTTTTAAAAATTATTTATTTCTAATAGATCTAGATAATGGCATACATTCTCAGATTGTATTGAATATTAAATTGCGAGTGTTTGTTTTGCGTGACTGCTATATCATATGTGTGCTACTATGCTAATCAGCTAGGGAACCTACGTCCTTAAATCATAATTGACAGTAATGTGGATTAGTGCCTCACAAAAGGGCACTAATATAGCTGATCAGCACAATTTTTATCCTGGGGCCTTACAGTAACGAGGCTATTGCTTAGCCCCTGAATCATGACTGTACGCAGTGTTTGCTAGGGTACGCGGCCCCTTCCACAAATCCCCCAAAACGAAGAAACTGCAACAAATTGTCAAAAATTCATTGCATTTTCCCCCGGCCCCCTACAGGAAAAAATCCTCTGTGTGGCCATGCCTTGAACCATAATGCATGGCCCTACAGAGGAATTTTTTCCTGTTGGGGGCCGGGGGAAAATGCAATGAATTTTTGACAATTTATTGCATTTTCTTCGTTTTGGGGGATTTGTGGAAGGGGCCGCGTACCCTAGCAAACACTGCGTACAGTCATGATTCAGGGGCTAAGCAATGGCCTCGTTACTGTGAGGCCCCAGGATAAAAATCGTGTCGATCAGCTATATATTAGTGCCCTTTTGTGAGGCATTAATCCTCATTACTGTCAATTATGACTTAAGGACGTAGGTCCCTTAGCTGATTAGCATAGTAGCACACATAAATTATGATTAAGCAGTCACGCAAAACAAACACTCGCAAATTAATATTCAATAAAATCTGAGAATGTATGCCATTATCTCGATCTATTAGAAATAATTAATTTTTAAAAATCCTTCCCTAAACTGGGGTAAAAATAAATATTCCACCATTATGACCAACAGTGTATCATCATTGATTTCGTGTTTACTTTGCATCGATTCTAACAGGTCTCATTGGTTTGGTTTTCCTCATCTTGGCACTGGTCTACGTCTGGATTTTCATTAAACGTCCTTGTCCTAACCAGAGTCTCTTTGAAGTCACCGTCCATTTTCTGATATCTCTCGTGCTTGGACTCAAGGGGAAGTCGAGCCATTCAGAAATCCTCAAGACCTGCAAGAACCCGATGATGCACCAAAGACGTCTATGGCGCGAGATACTTGACCTGAACGGACGTACCGCATACGCAGACGACCACGGCCTACGAGGAATGCCAACTCTTGGAGATCTTCGGAAGCAACATCCCTTGTCGGGTTACGAACGGTTCCGACCGTACGTCGAACGCATGTTGGAAGGTGAAGAGAATGTCCTTGTAGACGGAATACCAGACTCGTACATCCGAACCACAGGTACGACGGGAAAGTCCAAATACATTCCGCAAAAGAATAAGACAAAGATGTTCCTGAAAGTTGGTTCAGTTATGGGCCATATTACTAATTGCCATTATCCTACCAGCCCGCTGGCAAAGACTCTTTACTTGTATGTCGCACCTAAAGTACTCACGACAAAAAGTGGAAGCAGAATTGAAACGGCTGCGACAATGTCGGATGGTCACGATTGGTTTTTTGCTCAATTCTCTGTGCCTGCCTGCGGATTCAGGATTGGGGCGATGCACGAAGCGTTCTATGTCCAACTCCTCTTTGCGCTTAAAGACCCCGACCTGGGCCATATCATCATCGGTTTTCTCCACTTCCTGGAGAGCGGTATGAAGCTTCTGGAGAAAGAATGGAAGAACCTCACCAGAGACATCGAGCGGGGAACCATCAAAGCCGATCTTAACCTTCTGCCCGCCATCAGGGAGAGTTTGACCAAGGAACTCCAGACGTATGGCCCTGACCCCGCCAGAGCTGCCCAATTACGTGGAGAGTTTGAAAAGGGTTTCGAAGGTATAATCGAAAGGATCTGGCCAAAGGTTCCTGTCCTTGTAGGAATCGACTCCACTGGAAGCTGGCCAAGGCTCTCCAAAACCTACGCCAAAGGTACATCTCCATATTGCCACTAGGGAATTTTAAGAAGGCGGGTGGGGGGGGGGGGCAATTTGCCCCTGCTAATAGATTACTATCAAATAAATGCAGTAGCATTTCCAAACATTCTATTACACTCTATTCTGTTAGCATTTAAGGTAACGCGGCAATTATTTAAGATTGTTCTTAAAAATGTATTAGACATTATTTTAAAAGAACTTAATTATCGCATTGGGATCTCGCTAAGCAATAAATGATGTTAAGCAAATCTTATGATGCCAAACTTAAAAACCAAGAACAGCGGTGGAGGGGGGGGGGGGGGGGAATAAGTGCGGCATCGGGGGGGGGGGGAGTGGAGGGGGCTTGAAGGTATTTTGACTCACCCCTCCCTCCCGTAGAACCGCCACTGGCAAGTTTTCTATTCTGTTTATGTACTTTCAGGTTTACCCCTGTTATGTTCGTTCTATGGTTGCTCTGAATCAATGATTGGCGTCTACCCGGGTCCGAAGTTCATTGACAAGAAAGGCTATCTACCTCTGGTTAAATGGTCTGTCTTTGAATTCATCAAGGAGGAAGAAATGTAAGATGTAAAATAGTAATAATAATAATGATGATGATGATGATGATGACGATGATGATAACAATGACTAAAACAATTATGATAACAATAATAAGTGTAATATTAATATAAATATGAAATATAACAATAAAAATGAAGATAAAAACGATAATAATATTATTAAGAATAATAATAATATGAAAACAATGATTATAATAGAAATAATCGTCATCATTATCATCATAATCATCATCTTCTTCTTCATCATCACCACAATAATTGGTTACTTATTGCTCCTTTTCCGAAGGATACAATTGGCACTCTCAGTCTCTAAACAAGAATTGTAGAAGAACAGTTTATTTTCTGATTTTTTTTGAAGAAGCCAAGCGAAGGATTGAAATGCAGAGCTTTGCTCCTCAGCCGTGGAGCATCGGATTGCAAAGATTTGAAGCAAACCTGTTTTTTTCTAAATATGGGAATGAGGAGGGAATGGGGATGAATATAATGATGGAGTATGGTTCCAATCACCAGGATGGGGGCACAATAATAGTAGTATAAACTTAAGGAGAGCACACCGTCTGACAGGAACGCTCATGGCGCTAGCTCAGCAACAGTTATTTTTAATACAATAAACGTTGATTTGATAATAGATTTATACCGTCAAAAACAATTTTGTAACTACATTGTTTAACCCATTTCAATCATTTAATGTTGAAGGGGGGGGGGCCAGCATATTATTCATCTGTTTTTTTCAGCATGACATCATTTTTCCACAAAAAGAAATTTGGCCCTCCCCCTTCACACGGTTCCTCGGCCACTGCCGGTCTTGAATGATGAAAATATGCAGGGAGCGAAGCCATTGACTGGGGGTGATATTGTAAAGAAATCGTGTCATGTTCTTCACGATATTTTAAACCGCTTTTTTCCCTGTCTCCCTGTCTGCCACTGTCTCTGTCTCCCTGTCTGCCACTGTCTCTGTCTCTGTCTTGGTCACTCTCTGTCTCTGTATGTCTGTCTCCCTCTCTCGCTTTCTCACGTTCTATGTTTTGCAAACACAGTCTATAGGCTGTGGGTAAACATTTTGATCTAATGTACAGTGCGTCCCAGAACAAACGAAACCGAGAATTATCGATGTTTTATCATAACTTAATCACAATTATAAATAATTAATGACACATAATTATCTGTAAAGCGAAAATCCTCCTCTTTCATTTGATGCAACTCTTATGATGTATATTTCACCCATGAGTGATTAAAAACAATTTGAAGAGAGGAACCAAAAAGTTATTTGGCGGGCGGTATCTGAATTCCGAGAAAAGGAAAATCACATTTTCAGAAAGTTCAATTTCTGGCCTTTCATATGACACCTCAATCAGGATAAATGAGCCAGGAATAACAAAGTTCTGTTTGTTTAAAGTAATGCTTGCATTTCCATAATTAACGGGTTCGTTTTCACTGGCTGCCTGCCGTATCAACAAACGGAGTTGACAAAAGAACTGATGCATCATAAGAATTGCATCAAATGAAAGAGGAGGATCTAAGCTTTACAAATATATGTCATTTACTAATCATAATTGTGATTAAGTTATGATAAAACATCGATAATTCTCGTTTTCGTTTTTTCTGGGACGCACTGTATAATGTATGTTTGCTGGAATAATATCGACTGTTTCAAGGACACAATGTGTACCTTGGTTGCACTTTGCTGAATCCTATTACCCTGTTATAAAGTATAAATTAATGTAATTTCCGCATTAGGAAAGTAAACATTGTACGCCTTCGCTTTATCATCGTGCCAATTTCAACCTTGCTCGAGAAATGAAAATAGGCTTTAAAAAAAAAATCCTTTGTACATTTTGTTCCATTTTCAAACAATCATAAATAAACGCCCTTTTCACCAGCTTAGTCATACATTTTCAAGACAAGTGAAGTATGTCGTGAATAACCCTCTTTCATTTGATGTGTAAATCATGACAATTGGTCAAATGCTGACCGCTCTATTCACTTATTTGTAAATTTGATATTCCTGATGAAAAGGTAATCAAAAAGGGAACCAGTTAGGTAGGATAGAAAACATTAATGTGAGGACTTTTTGACCAATTTCATTCACACCAGTCTACTTCTCTTTTTCTCTGCTTTCATCTAGATTAGCTGTAGTTTGAGTAACTACTCTCGAAAATAACTGACTAAATTAATCCATAGATAAATGAATACATAGATAAATGAATAAACAAACGAAGAATAATAAACACAGTGTTATCGCATTACAATAACGATCCTTGTTTTAATACTTATGTAGGTCGTCCTCTCAACCACGAACGTTCTTTTTGAACGAGTTAGATCAAGGGCAGAACTATGAGGTAGTCATCACCCAACCGTTTGGTCTCTATCGCTATCGTATGGGAGATGTCATCCAAGTCATAGGCTTTCATGAAAACATGCCCGTCATTGACTTCTTATACAGGTAAAATCAGGTCCCTCAGGGCCCGCCATCTTTGATTTGAACACTTATATTGTCTGATTTCGACGTTCTGTTCATTCTTGCGATTTACTCCTATGAGTAGGAGACGAAAATAACTTTGTTATTTTTGTATTCGGTGCTATTCTTTGATGTTGCAGTACCTTTAAAAAAAGAAATCCGCCCATGCACCCAAAAAAGGAAAAAAATGGAAAGAAGATAAAAGCCCAGCTCAACGATACTTAGAAATATGTGTACATCGCTGAATAATGCTTGATAATGCTTGCGTATAGTTATGAAATAGGTTCTCTGTTGAGGCTTTCGGTAGCACCATTTGGTAGTCGTACAGAAATCACTGTTGATATATTTTTTTGTCAAAAATACCTCTATATGGGGGCGTTTAGAGGAATTGAGGAAAAAGTATAGTAAAGAAAAGGGAATAAGGAAAAAACACTATCATAGTGATGGAATGAAGTTTTATTAAACACTTAAACGAAACTATTTTTGTTTATTTGTTTTCGGTGTCAAAAGCCTTTTCAGTGAGGCTATCTTATGGTGTTACTGAAAGGCTCAATTTGTGAATTGGAAAATGTGGTTTCTTTATATATTTTGTCTCAACTATTTAGGACTGGTCAGATGCTGAATATCCGATATGAGAAATTAGACCAACGGGTTGTGTCAGACAGCATACGGTCAGCCACGGCCAAGTGGACCGGCATGACCCTGATAGAGTTTGCAGTAGCCGAGAGCACCTTACTCAACGAGAAATGCTCTAGTACGATTAGGTTATTCATTTGGTTTAAATTAATTAAATGGTGTATTAATGAAATGTCAATAATGATAATAATAATAATAATATTAATAGTTGAAATAACAATAATATATGACGATAATGAAGATAACGATGATGATGATGATAATAGCAATAATAATAATTGTATCGTATTGTATTGTATCTGAATATTTTTATGTTTGGGGTTGCTTGTTTACAAGTTTTTAGCTTATTTTAGCAATGCCGCTATTTGTAATGATTTCATTTGGATTTTTATCTTTTGCCAAATAAATGTGTGTTGAATGATTATAATAATAATAACAACTAAAACAAAAATAATGATAATAACAATACAAATTACAATTATGGTATAATAATTGAATTTATATAGTGCCTTTCCCGAACCGGGGATACAAGGCGATGTCCCTTATATAGTCTCAGGACAAGAATGCCGAGCAAGAGAGAAAATAGGCCCCGTCACACCATGCCCTTAATTCACTGCAGCCTAAAAGATATACCAACGCGCTTTCATCGCAGTATATTCCACAGACTTTTACAAGATTTTGACAAATTGTACAGTTTGAAAAACACTTTTGCAGCAGCTAGTGATTTTGATTTTATTTGAATGATTTATTCTCCGAATGCACAATAAAAACAAGATATACAGTAGGCTTGCGAGTGCACCATGTGAGAGAGAGGGATGATTGAGGAGTCCTGAAAAGGACTCTCGGTAATCTGTCTTGAGGGTGTGTAGTCCTGAAAAGGACTGTCGGTGTAGTCGTGAAAAAGACTGTTGGTTAAATTTCTTAGCTTATAGTTCTAAGGAGAACTATAGCGCCGATTGGAGAGTATGGGTGGCGGGAGTGGCTTAGAACTAAAAGCTAAGAAAGATAACCAACAGTCTTTTTCAAGACTACACCAACAGTCCTTTTCAGGACTACACACCCTCAAGAAAGATTACCGAGAGTCCTTTTCAGGACTCCTCAATCCTCCCTCTCTCTCACATGGTGCATCCGCAAGCCTACTGCCTATTTACACCACCATGCAAGCCGATACTTACAAGCAGCATCTAAAAACAAGATATATATACAAAACGTTTACAACATAAAATGAATAAGCATAATAAACAAACATAATATACAATGTATTAAACAAGAAAAAAGAAGACAATAATGAAGTCGGAAGGACACCCAGTTCAGTCCAGGCATAGAGACAAGACTGTTCTTCCATGGGGTCCAAGTTGATTGTTATAGTATCAAATATATATTTTGTAGTGAGGAACATGTGACAAAAAAGGTGGATCGCAAAACATATAGGCCTAGGTGTGTTCCCCAAAATATCCATTCTGATTTTGTTGTTGTTGGTCATTTTACATTTACCAGTATATGAACCGAACGAGCTGATGCCGTACTACATCTTCTTCCTTGAGATGAATGACCCTTCACAACCTCTCTCGGATGAATACAGATCTATGGTGAGTTCTCCTTAGCTAGGCATTCACTTATTCATATCATTATGTTAAAGGAGGTGTAGCAGGACGAGGCTAGGTGTCTTTCCCGTGGCCCGACTCGGGACCGATCGGGTATAATACGACTACAGACGACGCGACCGTAGTATTTAAGTGCGTGCAACATACGCGAAACCGAAGCGTTTGTTTGTTTCGCGAGCGCTAGCGCGCTGACCGTTAATTGTTCAAGTCCATTCGTTTACGTGCAGTTGTCTGAAAGAAGTCGTAGATGGCGTCAACCAGTATTTGCCATGCTATACCCCCTTTAATAGGGGCGTTCATACCTACAGAAAAGGGGCGATTTAAAATTCGATTTTTGCATCGCGATCCACTTTAAACAAAATAATTTTGCGTGTGTGGACAAATTGATTTTACTTATCCTCGCGTTTCGCATCGCGATCCAATTCGCAGATATTATTGCAATTTTTCAGAAAAATCGCGATAGTTTGCCGGGCGCTGTGTGTCAGGTGAATGGTATTGAAAATCAAAAATTGATTTATTTAATCACAAGATTCCAAACGCGCATACATCGTCGAGATTTATGCATATGCAGTTCGGATGTTCTTGCCGTCGAGCGAATATTCTCCCTGTGTGTGAATGGTCACCCCCAAAAATAAATCAATTTTTGCATCGCGATCCCAATCGCCTGAACTAGCCTATTGATAAAATGTTTAAATATTCAATTAAATCAGTCAATAATAAAAATGATATACCTCACTTAAGAAATCTCATTGGTCGAAATTGCAGTCGTGGTTTTAGCCATTCCCGTAAATAAACGAAAAATGCCAAACCCTTGTAATAGTTCTAGAGTAAATCGGTAAAATCCCGGCAAAATTCCAGTTACCGGGAAAAAAGTTCAGTTTTGCTGAAATATCCATTGGTTCACATGTTAAAATCCGGTTTGAGCGAGCGCGGGTACCATACATTATTACTTCCAAGTACCCATACACCTCACATGGGTGGAATGTGCCAAATATAGATTTATGTCTTGCTAACGGACATAATTGCTACGAGATTGATTCGAACCCCGTAGCTTTTGGTTTACAGTTCAGACACTTATCCACTGGACGGCAACAGAGTCAAGTCAAGATAAATTGCATGCCAATTGGAAATAGTTGAACAACTTCATAACGTAGCGAGATCAAGCTCTGTGACTCTTTAATTTAATTGATCAATACAATTCTGAGCAAATATAAACTTTATCTACAAAGAATATTCTATAATGGTCATATACTTCATGGAAACAGCTTAAAGGGAAAAAAATCAATCTTTATGGTCAACGGTATTCGATGCTCTCAAATGAAAATCACATAAACATCTTGAACATCCCTGACTGTCTCCGTCTTTGCCTGTCTGTCTATCTCTCTATCTCCCTCTCTCTATTTTCTCTCCATCAGATCGACGCAGAGCTGCGGAATCGAAATAGCGATGTCGAACGCCTGCGAGGAGAGGGCGCTATTTCGCACCCTCGCGTTCACGTTGTTCGTCCAGGGGCGTTTGCAGCGCTGGAACGGTATCTCCTCGCTAACACGGGGGCGTCCGCTAACCAGTATAAAGTGCCCCGAAAGCTTCGCACAATCGCTATGCTCGAAGTGATGCTAGAGAACCTGGTTTCGTAAGGAGAGACACTTTTTGTGTGCTCACTTTTTCTTTATCAAATAGTACCTTGTGAAATTCTTTTCGAGCCCCTCCTTCAGGAATAGCGATAATCATAATGATAATAATAATAATAACAATACGAGGGGTCAGTGACACAAAGACGTAACTCCATTTTGGCCATTTTGAGAAAAAGTGGTTTATGTGTCACTAAACACTAGGGCCTTAAGGAGTTAAGTCTATGTTTCACTGGCCATTGACTTCAATAGGGGTGTTGGATGGAGTTAAGTCTTTGTGTTTCCTGGAAAGCCCATATTTTGAAGAACATTTTGATATCAAATACTCATTTTGGCAAATTACGGAGTTACGTCTTTGTGTCACTGAACCCTCGAATAGTAATGATAATAATAATAATAGTGATGATGATGATGATGATAATAATAATGATAATAACAATAATAATACAAAATATCAAACAACATTAACAATACATATTATGGAATTTGTTTTGGTAACTCAAGAATGAAACTAGGTCCTTTGTTGAATAGTTTAAGATCTATAAGCTTCAATATATCACATTTTCATACACAAATCCTGAAAAATCTTTTTTTTTTCTTCAAATACTGAACAAATTACAATACTTGGTAGGGTACTATTGGTTTAGTTGTTCATTGTAAATAATATTATGTATATAATGATAAAGTCGAAAATCATTTATACATCACAAGTTTGGTCTTGCCCTATAAAGAGATAGTTAAGGAGCTCGATCACTTATTTTTTGAAATTTCCTATGGAAAGGGAGAACTGCAAAGGTAATGTATTAGTATACAAGAAGGTGGTTTAGATATGTTAGATGTTCAAACAAAGGTTGCATCGTTAAATATAAATTGGTTTTGTAAATATCTAAGCGATGAGTTAAATGCAGGATGCAAATGTAAGTTTGACTATTATTTTAAGAGGTTATAATGAATTGTAAATATAATATTAAAAACGCAAGTTTTCTGGAAAATAAGATTCCTTATTCCTACTATAATTCAATTATGACCTTTTTCTTCTTTAAAAGCTACTACTACTCAAAATAGGAACAATCAGGTACTTTTTATAGCCATCGTAGAGTAGAGAAATGATTTAGCTGAATACAAATGTAATGTATAAAGGGAAAATGCTTTAAAAAAAGAATAGGAATTAGATAAATTCTGACATTTTGTCTGTTGGGGAGTTGATGGATGGTAAAGGTTTTCTACCAGTTAATGAGTTAGGTGCGAAAATATTATTTAAGGATGGAAGGTGGTATAGTCAATATGCACGTATTAGAAGAGCGATTCAATCACTTGAATATGTTAGTACTTGCAGATACGAATGTAGAACATAGAGAGTATATGAAATTTAGATCCACAGCTTTTGTATATGACAATGTAAAATTTGTTGATGATATGTTTTCTGTAAGGCAGTTGACAGTTAAAAGAATATATCATGAGTTAAAACATTAAAACAAAAATCGAAGAATCTAGAACGGAGGAATTTTGGAGTAATACTTTAGGAATTGAATGAATACCTGCATGGTCAGATGTTTGGATATAAAAGTTAAAAGGTATGAAAGTCAGTAAACTGATTAATTTCAATTTCAAATTCATGTACAATATTTTTGCAATACCAAATAATTTGTTTAAATGGAAAGTAAATGCCACTGAGCAATGTTGTTATTGTAATCAACCAGGTGATTGTATTTTATGTTCTTTTCTTGTAACGAAGTCATGAAGTTTTGGAATAAAGTTGAAAGGAATATAAAGATATATTTCTTGTCTAATTTTAATCTCAAACCATGTCATTTATAAATCATTGTTTGGTTTTGTTTTTAATTCAAAAGAGGAAAAAGATGTTGATATCATTTTGAATTATGCACTTTTCACTATTTACAAAAGCTTTATTGGAAAAGAATTTAAAAAGAAAAGAACAAAACAGAGACTTCTTCATATTTTGTTTTACCTATTGAATTATCGTTTACAGATAGAAGAAAACATTAGCAAACCATGTATTTCCTACCAGAAATGGAGGCAAATGCCAGGGGGGATCTACGGGGGGGGGGGGGGGTTAAAACCCCTTCCTTGGGCGGACAATTTATTTTTCTTTCTAATTTTTAATGTCGCCCCCCCCCCCATTGAGCGAAATATTGGTCGTCGCGATTTTTAAAATTCGGGCTGGATCCGCCACTGGGTCAACCCCCCCCCCCCCTAGCAAAAGGCTAGATCCGCCCCTGAATGTGTGAATATGTTTATATTATTATGAGGAAATAAAGAAGACCAGAAAATGCTTATTTTACACCAAAAAAACAAAACTGTAAATATGTATTTATCTAATAGCCATATTGTACCTCGGGAATTAACTTTCATAATGAAGTAAATACAAAGTAAAATGTATACCTGTATATGTAAAGGTATATTTGTTATAACAAGAATATTTTTTCTGATTTTATTGCATTTAAGCATTTATCAAATTAGCCACTTTGCAGCTTCATATACGGTGCGTCCCAGAAAAAAACGCAACCGAAAATTATCGATGTTTTATCATAACTTAATTACAATTATAATTAATAAATGACACATATTTGGAAAGCTTAAATCCTCTTCTTTCATTTGATACAACTGATAGGACGCATATTTCACACATGAATGATTAAAATCAATTTGAATAAAGGGTATCAAAAAGTATTTTGGCGGATGGTATTTGAATTTCAAAGAGAAAACCACATTTCTAAAAAGTTCATTTTCTGCCCTCTCATATGACACCTCAATCAGGAAAAATGAGCTAAGAATTATAAAGTTCTGTTTGTTGAAAGCAATGCTTGCATTTCCATAATTTTATTAAACGGAATCGTTTCCAGTGGCTACCTGCCGTAGGAAAAAAACAGAATTGACAACAGACTTAACTCCGTTTCGTTGACAATCAGACAGTAAGAAATGGAATAACTTAGAAGTAGTTATAGCAGTGAGTATGGGGACGGCCATAGGTTTTGTACTTATACTATTTCTAATTGACTCGTGTACATTAACTTTGACATAGTCTATTTTCGAGAAAAAACGGACTTATAACACGCGTGTCTATGGGGTTTTTGACGAAGTCTTGACTTTTTGAATTTAATTAGGGATTTGTCATTTTGGACTTGTAAATTTTTTCGAAAAAACTGACTTTTAACACGCGTGTCAATGTGATTGTGACTTTATGAATTTTACTTAGTGATTTTCTCTGTTGGACTTAGATTTTTTTCAAGCAAAAAGTGAATTATAACACGTGTTTCTATGTGAATTTTGATACTTTGAATTTTACTTAAAGATTTTTTAGGAATTATTGACCTTTTGAATAGTGCATGATAGGTATTTTCTTTTTTGGAACTGACTTTTAACATGTGTGTCTATGTAATTTTGACTTTTTGACTGTCTTTCTACCGGTATACTTTGTGTTTGACTTTCTAAGGAACGTTTACAAAGCTGTTGTAGGTTGGATCAATATCTATTATTCGATCAAATATGTTGTACGACTATTGTGACGTAGAATACACACATCCATGAAATAAAACAATATGTAGTACAGATATTTTACTTTATTTTACTTTATTTGTTTCCGTTTCAATGTGGACAACTTTATGCAAAACAGATTTGAATACAAAGATAAGAATTGCAATGTAGTCATGTTACCAGGAAGCAAAGATAGAATATACAAAACATTTTTAACTAGAGAAAAATAATAGAACCCAAGTCACATTATTGTATTATTTCATCGTAAATATGTAAAAACTGTTAACATAATACAGTAAACATATAGTGTATAGGTATAACTATCTTTAAAACATAAAAGAAAGTTTTCTCTCTTTTTTTTGGGGGGGGGGGACCCGTACAGGTATGCACGTTTAAACGCAGAAAGATCGATCGATGTACATGTTGAAATGGAGTAAATTTGCCATCTCTTATTAGGGTTGTCGACGAAGTGTTCTTTGTCAAGGTGATGTCAAGTCTTAGTTTTCGCTTCCATCTGAACCCTCCGTCTCTTCTTCACTATCATCGTCATTCTCATCCTGATACTGGAATAAGCCCTCGAATTGTGAACCGTGTCTCGCTAAGACTCTTTTCACGGCTTTCCGAAGATTCATGCCGTTTTCTCCTTTTTCAGTGAGGTCAGACATAATTTCATGATTGATGTCAGCTCTTCCAAGGTACACATTCTGCTGCAAGAAGTTGGAGTAAAGATCGAAAAAGCTGCGTTTGACAGCCCATAGAACTTTCACGTGAGCCTTTTCTTTAGCTTCTTCTTCATCCATACCATCGGAGATATATTTTTGATATTTTTTGTCCCTGAGGTCCTCGGTGTTTGTCATGGCCTGTTCTAACCATTCTTGATAAGCAGGGTTGTCCTCAGGTTCTTTCATGTCAGGTGTCTCTGACTTTGACGATTCATCCTCTCCTTCTCTTTCTGAATCACTTGTTTCAGATTCATCGCTAGATTCTACAACTCTTTGCTTTTTAGAGGGTGGTTCGGAGAAATCATCTTCACTAGTTTCTTCACCAGCGTTGGATTCTTCAGTCTCATACCCATGATCTTTCATATCAGGATGTACATTCTGTCCGTGCCTCTTCATGTCGAACTTGCGACTATAGGTCTTATCGCATAGTGAACAAGCGTAACGCTTGGACATATCGAAAGTGTTCGTGTTGACTCGTTGATGTTTAACTCGGATTTGATTCAAAGGAAATTGAATCTTTATAATTATAGTTTGTCATTTGATATATTTTGTTATTTGATACGTAACGCCGTAGATAACGTCGTAAATCCGTAATGTAACGCCGTAAATCCGCAGTCTAGCGCCGTAACATTCCGTAACGCCGCAATGTAACGCCACAACGCCGTATCGTATTATACACAACGCATTTGACGTATCATTCAGCTTTATGCTTCATCACCAACTTTTCTAGAGCACCCAGTATACAAAGACTTCTCAATCAAAGTAAACAGAGGGACGATTCCATGCAATGTGTCTCGTATATATGTCTATGTTTACA